ATCATTCAAATGAAAAAATGTAATTTTCAATGGTATTCCAAAGTCATTCAATATATCTAAAACACTCAAATTTTAAAGTTTTATACGTAGATTCTGAATCTAGTATGCAATTATTTGACCATTTTCAAACAGGAGTCGTACGATTGATACCAAATATAACTTTAAAAAATTAATCAATATGTTTCTTCTAATCTTCTATAGATTGATTTTCAGTGTTTCAACAAATATTTTTTAACATTTTGAAATGTGTCTGCAAATATTTATCTTTGCTCGGGATACGGTATATCCAGAAATAACATTTTTTTCATTCATAATATTATAGGCGAGTCTTACAAGAAATTTTTTTAAAATAGAAAGATTTATCAATGAAAATATATTATTTCATCCCCACTTCTGATTTATTCTTGCAGAAAACTTTACTGAAACTCCCCTTGATTTACTACAATCTCCGTTCTCATTTTTTCTTTCCGCCTCCCGCCCTCGTTTCTATCTTTGAGATGGCCGCGAGTCAGTTACAGTGCAACGATGGCGGCTGATTTACTGTCACAATCAAAGTCTTATGGTTTTAGAAATTAACGTTCTTCAATAATTGATAACATGAATAAAGCTGCTCTACTTACAGATCATAATGTGATTCATTTTTCTTTGCATGAAAGAAAAATTACTTGTTCTAAAACAAGGGTAAACGAAAAATTGGATTTGATGTAGTAACCAATTTTGAAAAACTTTAACTGTAATTATTTACAAATATTTTTGCGCGCGAATTTAAACAATTTAATAATTATCAGGTGACATAAAATAACTGATCTAATGATACTAAATAAAGAAAATTCAAAACGGAAAGTATAAATTGGGTATAGTTTTAAAAATATTATTGTTTATAAGAATTTCTAATGAAAACTACAATGGTACAATGGTACTCTGGTAATTTCAACGCCAGAAATAAACATCTCGACATGAAAATTCACCCAGAGCCTTTACATGCGTGCATAAGATGAGCGCCGTGTAACGAGAGGAAGAAACTGCAGATGTGGGTGGTCGATTGCGTGTGTTGCTCTGGGTTACGAAGTGCCGCACCCACCGAGTCACTCCATTATTTACGCAGCTCATTTTGAGCCAGCACTCTTATTACCTACCCTTTGAGTACGATTATGATACACGGGTGAGGTGAATTTTTTAACAATTTCGTTCTCATCCTGATGTTAAAATTTGTTTAACGTTATGAATTTTTGGAATTTCAATTTCTTATTTTTGACGTTGTCGAACAATATTTTCATTGGTGGTAAATAATTGAAAATACTTTAGGGCTTGGAATTATACGATTTTGAAGATCACGAAGAAAAATTCTTACAAAAAATGACACTCGTACTGTAAAATCTTTACAACTTAAGTAGCTACTTAGTGGGTATTTTTTTAAAAGTTTGCAATTAGCTTACATACTTACACACTTACTTATTTTAAATAATATTTTAACGACAAGTTGCGCAGCAAGAACATATAACATGATTATACAGTGAATTATTTTATTGCAATAGATTTTATGTTCATAACATTGAGTCACATGTTACGAATCATTTCACGGCATAAATTCTTTAAATCTACTAATCCTATCCTTTTTATAATTCTATAATCCAGCAATCGGATAAAATTACGAATTCATTTCACGTTTGATTATCAATCTGAAACTAATTGAATAGTAAATTTCAGATATTTTATCTTCAATTTTATTTTAAAAATTATATATAACGATGCATCAACATGGAAGAATTACTCTTAAGATAAAAATTTGTAGTAATTTGATATACATTTATATATTTAAAAAAATCAGAAGCTATGTATGAATAAATTTGTTATTTGTTTTAAAAAAATAAATCAATAGAAGCTTACAAAAATACTTTAAACAAAATATGAGGAAAAAATTTAGGTTTGCTCATGAAGAATAGTATACGCGGGTGTGTTGGCAGACAACGTTGCTAAGTTACCACCCATGGAAGCTCGTGCTTGCACCGGGTCAATACCTGCCGGCCTCGCAAGAGACCAACTCCTCTCCCCTTGTCGCTCGTGACAGCAAGAGAGATATAGGCTGAATTGAGTTGCGTGGGTAAGAGAAAAAGAGATAAAGCCAGCTAGTCTGTTGTTCTTCTTTCCTATGAAAAAAAGAGATAATTTTGCTGAAAAATAAATTATAAACCTCCAACACATATTTTATTTATGATATTTACGGGCCTGTTAAATAATTAATTAAAAGATGATATTTGGCAGAATGATACATTTTTTTGAGTAAAACTGAAATGCAATTTTTCGCATTGTGAAATAAATTTAATGATTTTTCAGCATTTTATTAGATAGCAGCTTTAATACATTTTATTATCTTTACAATTTTTTCAAAATGCAAGTATGTTCATGAGCAAAAATCTATTAATATGATCGATAAAATTATTTAAACATCATCGTAATAATCAGAAAAAGTTTAAACTTTTATAACGTTAGTTTTTAACGATAAAATTATTAAATAAAAATTAATAGTTTATTTCTGCAGCGTCGAAAGAAGAAGATAGCGACGACGTCAGAAAGAGAAAACAGAAAAAGAGAATTAAGTAAAAGGAAGGTGTCTCACATGGTTGCTCTCGAGTGTGGTGCAGTGCAAGTCAAAAGGGGAGACATATCCGGGCAGCTGACTGGACTTCTTTCAGTTCAACCGACTCAACATCCTCTTTCGATTAAATAAAGTTACCCACACAAAAAGTTGTCATGAGTATTCAGTACTTTCCTAATGAAACTACTGAAACTTTTTAAATAATTTTGCGTTCATTGTTTCTTTAAAATTGTTGAATAGACATTCAATTCAGTTTTTACGGCCTTATTATTTGTTATCAAAAGTTAAAAATTTAAAGAAATGATACAATTTTATATAGAAATGATTTTTAAAAATACTTAACTTTTTGAGAAACATCTTGTAAGATTTGTAAGTAACTCAAATAAATAAAAAGACCGACAATTCAATAACTATCAACCTCGATTAGGGTGTAAATTCAATTTAATTAAAATGAATAAATTTATTTTTTATAATATGAACATATAGTTAGCTTAAATTATTGTAAAAAATACAGAAACCTGTCTGATTTATTAGTTTCAAAAAAGAATCTTAACGTATGCCTTAAAAAAGATGTTTGATTAATAAACTACAATATTTTTGAAAATTACTCGTTATTAATAATGATAAATAAAAAGTCCTATAAAACGGACATTCTTATGAAGCAAATATTATTGTTCATTCTGATGTTGAAGCGACGTTGATAAATCTGTTCATTGCTCGAAAGAATAAAAATAAGAAGATTTTACGATGCATCGTGCAATACTCCAGTGTACACGATTGGAATATTAAAGATTATAACATGTTATTATAAAGTGCAGTTTCGCTCGTGAACCTGTGAGCTGGAAAGAATTCACATAACTAACGGATTCATAGGAATGAATCTTTCCAAAAAATGAATGATATACTTTCAAAAAATATTTTTTATTTGATTGTTTTCCATTTTTTTTTTAAATTTTTGATTAAAAACATATTCTATTTTACTTTTAATTTCAATTTTGTCAATGTACTGATCTTCAGATTGACAAATTATCAACGATACTCATAAACGATACATTTTTCATGAGTATGACAAATCATTTTACTTTCTACATATTTTTTAAGCAGAAAATACGAAATTTTCCCTAAAGCTATTGATTTTAGATCAATTTTACTTTAAACAGCAAAAGTATAGTGATGATATAGTTTGTTTACAAGACTTATTCTCGATAAAATTATAATTAAATCTAGAGCTGGAAATTTTTGAAAAACTATAAACAGCTCAAAAAATTGTAATGTTTCTGTTCGATTTATTTAATTTATTTAAAATCGTTTCTTTAACATAATATTATAATACTATCTTATTTTTAATGAAGGCTTTGAATTTTGAAAAATTTTGATTGATTAACGATCGCATCAATGTTCATGTTCATTTATATAATTAAACCATTTCTGCTATTTTATAAATAAATAACAATCAAAAATAAGTATAAGTTAAAAAAAGAAAGATAAGATGGAAATATTTTTAAATTCAATGCCAAAAAAGATATTTTCTAATTGTTTATCAACAAAACGCAGAAAATACGATTTTGGTCATGTATATTTGTAAGCTTCTTTTTCGAATTTACATAAGAATTCAGTGTTGCACCTGACCAGACTGTCTGATTAATACAAAAGATACAAGCATTATCAGCCTTACACATGAGTACATAACAATGAAGCTTGAGGTATAGAATGAATGATGATTTTGTTGCAAGTTAATACATCTTGCCATTTGAATGTGCTTTTCATTTTTTCTATTCACTATTGAATCATTTAATTTTGAAAATTAAAAGAGAAAAATCAAATTTATGCAGCAAGTTGGATGAAAGTTCAGAATTAAATTTAAAATCAAAAACCATCGTCGTTAAGAGTATATGTATTGCATTTTCTATTACGTCAATAGTGTGTATAACTTCAATTAGAAATTGTTTAAGCAAAAACATTCTTAATAATTAATATCGCGAAAAATTCGTTTCGTTTGTGATGAATACTAAAGTTTTGTGTCAAATGAAACAAAATCTTCTGTGAATAACTGAAAAATGTTCATATCTTATTAATTTTCTTTAATTTAATATGAATTTTGAGTAACAGCATAAGTTCATACAATAAGCACCTAAACAGAAATAATTTTATCTTGCGACGTGATAAATCATTTAATGTCAGGACAGGAAATAATGCTTCAAAACTTCAAGTAAACGTTTGAATAATCATTCGAATGACAATGTTCAATAAATAGTGAATTTATTGTTAAGGAGGGATAATTTTTTTTACAAATAAGTTCCTTCTCAAGTGTTTCATATTTTTTTATCCAACAAACGCTAACTTCACATTCAATCGATTATGCGACACCTTCACTAGATTTGCAGCAGTGGACGCGTCACACGACCGACGTTCCATTGTAAGCAACAACACATGTCTAAAGCCGTAATTCGTAAATACGGCAAAACATTCATGACTGAGTAAATGATAAATTATCATATTCCGAAATTGTACATAACTCGTGCTGTCTTGTTTATTTAAAGTGAGAAGAAATTAAGACCTTCAGTAATTAAATCTTAAGATGAGTGAATTAGTCTGGGGTATAAAAAATGGCGATCTTGATCAGGTTCGCGATATCATAGAGAAAAAGGTACATTCCTGACAGTATTTACTTTTATCATAGATGACTATAAAATAACAAATAAAGGCCTAAAGATTAATTAAAATTCTAGTAATTTTATTGATGTAAACGTATTTAGCTTATTAATAAAATTATACGATATTCAAGTTATTGTTATGATCCATTTCCGGGAATTTGACTAACTCAACTTTTTCAGAACATTGATGTTAATCAAACTATAGATGGTAGAACACCGCTTCATTATGCAGCCGATTATGGACAGAGTGAAGTTGTTAGGTACCTTCTGGATAAAGGGGCAGATGCAAATGTCTGTAAATTTTTTTTGTATTTTTATTAAATATTTCATCCAATTGTTCGCCGACTTGATTACTTGATTTACTTTAGGCAACAGATAAACATGGCATCACAACTTTACTGGCAGCAATTTGGGAAGGACATACAAATTGTGTTAGATTATTGCTCGAAAAAGGAGCTTCAGCTACTGGAAAAACACCAGATGGAAGTAGTTATTTAGATGCAGCTGAAAAAGATGATATAAAAGATTTATTAAGGAGTCATTAATACTAAACCAAAAGTTGAAGACCCATATTATCCAAGCTTTTTAATTCAATTTTAAGTGTACTTTGTAAGCTAGAAAAGAAACAAATTTTCCTTGGAAAAGATAATAATGGTATTTTTTGTTAATTTTTTATACTTGGCTTAATTTTAAAACAAATTATACTCTTAAAATGTTTACTGTTAGTTTTGTTGAAACTTATGTGCAAAACTTCTATTGTTTTAAATGAAGTCGGAGAAAGATATTTCTAAAGCATTTTGGTATCAAGTTCAAAAGTGTTGACTAAAACTTTAAATAATTAAAATTATATTTTTAACAACAAAACAGATAAAATAGATGCATCAGAAAATAATCCATGTAATTAATTTTATGTGCTAAAATGGTATACATTTTCCTCATTGCAAATTAATGAATTCATATGTATTTATCAAAAATATTACATTACAATACAAATAATACAATTGTAAATTAACAGATATTTATTACATTTTACAAAAATACAAAAATTTGATTTGAATATGGTGTTTTTTTTTACAAAGAGATTTTTGGAAATAACTTTAAAAATACTCAATCATACACTCAGTCTTCAATTAAAAATAAAATTGAGATTTATAAAAGTCTTCCTCTGCAGTTACTTGCTCCACATTTACAAATAATTACTTTTCCAGGTATGCTACCTACATCATAACTGTAATTCCATGTCAATTCTTGACCAGCTCGAATATAGTTCAATGCAAAAAAAGCTACCCATGGAAACCTTACATCATGGGTATCAACAAATACATTTTGCACAAACACGTTTGGATCACAAGAGTGCTAAATTATATGATTGAACAATTGTTTTATTATATTTTTATTGCATAATATATATTAAAATTTGTTTCTTACGTTTAAATATCTTCCGATATTGCCAGTTGTCTTAGCATCCATAATGTATACTGATTCATCTTCACCAAAGAAATCACGAACTGATTTGAATTTTGGTTTCTCTACCTTTGTTGTATCTACAGCTAAATCTAATTTACTTGGTTCACGAATCTCATCTTGATCTTCTTCATCGCTTCCTTTTTCTTGACTATCCTTTGAGGCATTATCTTCATCATACTTCTTTCTTTTTCTTAATCGTCTTCTGCAATATCAATAATACATTAATACACTAATAATTCATAAATGTCAATATTCTAAAACTTACCGCATTGATGATCTGGAATCCTCATCTTCTGATGCATTAGCTGAATCTACATTATCTTCTTGCATTTTATGAGCAGATATATTAAAATCTGTATCAGTTATGTCATCATTACCAGCATTACCTTCCATTTCAGGTTCCAGAGCATCACTTTCATAGCCTTCTTTAATACTCTCAACAACTTCAACATAATCCAATTCTGCAAGATATTCATCTCCATAATTTTTACCCCCTTCATTAGCACCTTGCTCGGTCAATAAACGGCCAGCATAAATGCATATAAATGATCCTAAAGGAATATCATTTAGACAACGAATACCCCACCCACGGGGTGCTGTTTTGAAGACTTGAAGTTTCAAATTAAGTGGATGTTGGACTACTCGATTTAAACAAGTTTTAACCGAACATTTGCATCTAAAAAAAAGTAGTAAAAATCCTCAAAATGCTATTAAAATTTTATTATTTCTCAACCAGATTTATTTAACTAACCGTGAATTGCACTCGTATATGCCAGTAGTAACAGCTTCAGGTAAACGTTTATATACATATCCAACAGCAGCATTTGGCACACGTCCTCCAAGGGTAGCGCCTTGTATGGTCAATTGCCAACACTGACATTTGGTCTTGTCAGCACAATCATCTTCACAATCACAACTACATAAAAACTCTGGATCTAAATTTATGTGTACATCGTCCTCAGGTTGACGCCGAGTTGCGTACGTAATGGCATCTGGAAAGGCATGGTCAATTTCATTGACACAAGGAATGGGAACATTTTCAACTCCATAACTAAGATCCTAAAATCCCACAAGTTATTCATTTATTGTTGGAATGAATTTATTAAAACTGATTTCAATAAATGTATGTGTAATTTACCTTAATATTTACGAAGCATTTATCCAAGACAAACTCAGCTAAGCAATGAACCCAATAATCAAATTCAAATAAATCTACAGACATTGGGCAGCCAGTAATTCTGAGATATTTATGCAGTTCTTCCATATTTCTCAGCCTAACACCACAAGGGGCCTGATATAGTATAACTTGTTTTCCCTTGGGGAATCTACAAAGTTGTCTATTCCATCCACATAGTAGTGGTATGGACAATGGCGAATAACCACGTAAATCATCAGGTGTAAACGATATTGCTTTAACACACTCCGGACTGCAGTTATGAATTTTATATTTTTTCGTCTGAATTTTATTTTGTGTTTGATAATACTAGAATAAAATTATTAATAACTTTTATGTTGTTGAACTAAAATGTTACTTTTTTTAGATAAATAATTCTAATAAAATACTTACAACAATACTGTGAGATGGCTTTGTTTCTGTATTGGTGCTATAAGTAGTTGAAATAGAAGTAGAAGTAGTTTCTTGTGTAATAGAACGCTTGGCAGTACTTTTTTTAGCAACTGCTCGAGCCTGTTGGGGTGCAACAGATTCAACTAAAGTGTTATTAACGGTCCCTGAATGTTTAGATTTTGTGTCATTTATGAAAGCGTCTCGTTCATCAGTAGCTGTAGATGTATATTCAACATATGGTCCATTTTTCTGAAACAAACACAAATTAAACTTTTATAGATAACCGACAATTCTTTTTTGTTCAACCATTGCTGGTTTAAATCTTTGAAGATATAGCGGAGTTGAATTATTTAAAATTTAAAAATTTGATTTGATTCTATTGCAAGATAAGGATGATACATACATTAATAATAGTGTTATGGCGTCTTGGTGTGTTAAGAGAAGAATGACAACCTTGTTGTCGAAGATTTGCTTTCATAAGTTCCACATATAATGGTCCCAATCTTGCAGACCCACGATAAATCCATTCTGTTCTATTATCAGCATCAAAATGCATTTGCACTAAACTAGCATCCACTTCCCGTACTCTAGCTATCCACCATTTTCCATTCCATTCAGTTTTAACTACTTGACCCTTTTGGAGTTTTACCATTGGTCTCTCTGGATAAGATTCCATGTACTTTTTAACAAAATCTCTAGATTCAAGAGGTATATCTTCCCAGACATTTCGTGAACTTTCACAAACTAAAAATATATGTCTGTGATATACATATTGAGCATAGCCATCGTCAAAAAATACCAAGTATCTATAAATTAAAATATTTGCATTTAAAAAAGTCCTAAATTAACATTAGCGATCAAAAAATGAAGACTATATAAATACCTAAATAAATTTGTAGACTTGGGTGGTTCAGCAATAACTCCACTGTAATAATTACTTGAATATGTGTCTTGAAATATAGCTACAACTCTAGTACCTACAGGTATGATAACTGGACTTGGTTTACTATATGCCATATGTTTTCCACTCAGAGTTTTTATTTGACCAGCATATTTTTTTTGCAGCAATTTTACTTTGTACTGCATTGGAGACTTATTTGAGATCTGTTGAACCTGAAATCAATGTAAAATATTTATTTAATTAATATATAAAATGAAAACATTTTATATCTAATGATGAAAATAAATTAATTATATAAGAATAATTTTTTGGAATTATATAAGCATATATTAATTATCAAATCAAATTGTTATTTTACCTTTCCTTTGATCCATGGAAACAGAGGATGCTTCATTGTGAAAACATACTCATCAATTTCTGGTACAGGTTTTATTAATTGGCCTGTAGGGGGTAAATTCATTGTCCCCAGAAGTTTATTGCTTGGTGCTGCTACTTGAAGAATTTCAGGTTGACTATCCACATTAGAATTTGATAGATTTGAACATTGACCACGTGTAACTTTTTTAGTAGCAACTTGTGCAGATGATGAAGTATTGGTAGTTGCATTATCGTCATTGATGGTCAATTCTTCCAACATTTTTATGTCAGGCTTAAACTCATCGTAAAGTTGTCTTCTATAATCATCTAAATTGCCCATAATTGTTGAAAATTGTTCCTCCATCTCTTTATTAGAAGCTGCAAAACAATTTAATATGAAAGTATGAGATTAATTTTAAATAAATTTTAATTCTACAATTTTAGTAAAATTACAATTTACAAAATTCAGATTTTTTAGCAAAAACTTTAATTTTTAAAAAAATTAAATCATCTAATGAATGTTTAGAACTAATTATTAATTAATCATGATACTTTGTTTATTTTACCATTGATTTCATCTAATTTTGATTTTAAATCAGAATGAGTTTCTCTTATTTGATAGTCAATGTTATAAGTCTTAAATACTTCTTCATAAGTATTAGTCAATTTTTCTTTGAATTGAGACAATTCCACAATGGATAGACAGTCCTCTGAAAAAAAACATCATTGATTTAAATATTACATTTTAAGTTGTAAAGAAAATAGAAAAGTAGAAAAAACCATGTTACTTTGAATTGTATCGTTATCTGAATCATCACTGTCTGAAATTTCCACTTGCATGGTATGATCTGGAAGTTCATACTTAACGACTGGTTCTGAGTTTAATAAAGCTTGGATAAGTTTCTAAAACCAAACAGAAATAGTTACATGTTTTCAAGAGTACAACTAAAAAATATCATGATTTTAAAAAAAACTTACATCTTGATGTTCTAAAGCAGTATTTAGACATTCTTGGCAAATATAAAGCTTCTTTTTTGCATTATTGTTAACGCCATAAAACGCACAAGCAAATGGTGGTGGAGACTTGAGCTTTAATTTATTACCAGAGTTACATTCAAAGTTGATACATTTTGCATTTGTCTTTTTCTCTTCATTTGCGGCATTATCGTCGTCAGAATCTAAGTTGATAACTTCAGTTACCTTTGATGTAGCCATGTTTCACAGGTTACAGGACGTTACTAATAATCGAAAAAAATTTTTCAGATATTTGACTTGCAAATGTAAAATAATTAATTCAATTTGAAAAAATATACTTTACACAAAGTGAATCAAATAGAAACAAAAAAATATTTGGAGACGACACGAAACGATTGTACGAATTAAATTATTTACAGAAATTTGCATTTAATGACAAATAACAGTCAACAGTGATAAATTAGTTACAGGTTAAGATTACGTTTAAACTTCATAGTTCACATATCCTAACACCGATTATGCTTTTGTCTAAATGAGGGCTAACGTCTCAGCAATGAGAGCACTTTGCCATTGAGCAATGAGCGACAGTCAACATACTATAGTGTCAACAGAACGCACGTGCAATAGGATTGCGGAACGGGATTGAGGAAATTACAAAAAAATAATTATTGAAGAATAATTGTTTTTTCTTGACCAATTTAAATATTTTTTTTTAACTTATTAAATGAGCAATTAGGAAGGGCAATATCAGGCTACTTTTTACTTCTTTACGTAAACCCTTAAAGCTAAACAATAAAGATGAAAATTTCAAAAATGTTAAGTTTCAGTTTAACATAATGTTCAACTTTTGAAGATTCATTTGAAATTTATATCAATATTTTACTTTATTTAAGAATATTAGTTTGACTTCAACTAAATGCTCAAGTTTTTTACTATAATAATATAACAGAATACAATATGACATTCCGCAATTCCACTCCGCAAGCTAGCAATTGTAACTAGCAAACGTGTTTATCCCAATACACCTGTCCTTGTTAGTAGTTTATTATGCAACTAAGAAAAAATTATTTTTAATATTTTTTAAACTTTTGTTCAATTCAACCAATTCACATTTTATTCCTTCATTGAAAAAAAATGTTTTGCAACGCAAGTTAATACTTTCTATAGTTTATAATAGCTTTGACTTTGATATATATTGTGTGCTTTTTATAAGAATTATCGATTGGCATTGTTATTTTACAAAGCACGCGATACAACATAAGTAATTCATTACTTTATTCACTTTCAATTGTAATTCTAAGAAATTGAAAATAAGATTTTCATTTTTGATTTTCGAATAATCAAATGTAATCGATTGCCAACTTTACTTAATACGTGAATTTTTACCCTGGTCCGGAGAACAGTATAGGACTGACTGCATGAGAATTTCATATACTTACATAGAAACGTTGTCGTTCCACGGCGAATTCCGTTACATTCATCAAGCTTTTGTGGGACGGCGAACGCAGTTATGTGTATAAATGCACCTATTCTACAAGTCGCTATTTGACAGGGAGTAACGGTTAACTCATAGTCTATCCATACCGACGCAACACAACTGAAATTTGGAGACAGCGAACTGCGTTGATGCAAATTTAATAAGTATACATAGGTATTGATTAGATTTACCTTTTATCTATGGAAAAGTGGGCACGTGTTGGTTGCTAAATAGGGTGCTTAACATGACTTTTTTTAAGCATCAGATGCTGAAAGCTTGTTATTTTTTGTTTATGAGTGAATAAGTTATTACTTTTTATGCATCAAAAATAAATTTTTCATCGTTTTTTTTTTATTATTTTTTTGGTAAACAGGTAAATGCTAAACATGTCTCCACCGCCTCAAGATGTGAGTGACCACAATCTAGAACTAAAATCTACTGGAGAAACTATTTTTCCTAAAACTAACGTTGTCAAACCGAGTACCATCTATCCTTTATTACAAAATCATGAGCAAAAACAGAATCAAAGTCATTCACAAAATAATTCACAAGAGCCAATTGAAGGTCCAAATTCTAATCAAGTGGTTCGACACAAACGAAGTCCTAAAGATTTCATATTTGGAAAAGTTATTGGTGAAGGCAGTTTTTCTACAGTGAGTACTTTATTTATGAAACATTTTATAAAATAGGAAAATAAGCAAATTGAGAACAAACGAAGCATAAGCTACTAATATAATAAATTATTCTATGTTACTCAATTACTTCAAGTTAATTTTGCAATATAGGTAAATACAATTGTTCTGTATCTTATTTTATTTATTTTTATGTATTAAACAACTGACAAAAATTAGTTGATATTGAATAACTTAGATCAATTAATTTTTGTATTTATTTTGGTTTATTCAACTATATGATAGATAATTTTTTATATAGTAATGCTTCATGTTGAGCAATATGTTGGATAAGTCAGTTTTTTTTTTATGAGCTTGAAAATATTTATTCACAGGTTTACCTTGCCAAGGATATTCATACAAATAAAGAATATGCTATAAAAGTTTGTGAAAAGAGACACATTATTAAAGAACGCAAAACTCAGTATGTCAAACGAGAAAAAGAAGTACTTAATATGTTGGCCAATGCTAAGCATTATTTTGTCCGTCTTTTCTGTACTTTTCAAGATGTAGAAAGACTGTACTTTGTTTTATCATATGCTAAAAATGGGGAGCTTTTACCACATATTACAAAAAATGGTAGTTTTGACATTGAGTGTACCAAGTTTTATTCTGCAGAAATTTTACGAGGTTTAGAATATCTACATGGGCTTGGTATTATCCATCGAGATCTCAAACCAGAAAATATTTTACTTGATGATAAAATGCATGCATTAATCACAGACTTTGGTAGTGCTAAAATACTTGGAGAACCAGATCAAACTGATAGTTCAAGTCAAGATCATCGTGAAACATCTACACGAACACAGCGACGTAATTCTTTTGTTGGGACAGCTCAGTATGTTTCCCCTGAACTACTTTCTAACAAAATATCGAGTCCTGCTTCGGATTTATGGGCATTTGGTTGTATAATTTACCAAATGGTTGCAGGTTTACCACCATTTCGTTCACGCAGTGAATATCAAATCTTTCAGAAAATTCTTCAAGTAGATTATGAAGTACCTGATGGTTTCTGTGAAGTAGCTCGTAATCTTGTTGGTTTATTACTTGTGCGTGAACCTTCTCAACGACTTGGTGCTAATGATAAACTAAGTATTGGATACACTAGTATTCGTGCTCATCCTTTCTTCAATGGTATTGATTTTGAAAAACTGCCGGAACAAACACCACCACCTATATGTCCTTACTTACCAGGAACTTCTGATAATGAAGAAATGCGTTCACAATATCGTTTACCAGATAATCTTGAGCCAGGTCTTGATGATAAACAACTTACTCGTCTTCTTGGACTTGGAATTGGTGAATTAAGTGAAGATGACGAAGATGATGAAACAACTTCATTACAATCATCTTCTAAAGTACAATCTGAAAAATTATCAACCTTACAAATGTGTGAGCAACAAAAAGTCAAAGTTAATGCTGAAAAATCAGATAAAATTTCTGAAAGTCCTCAGGATAAATCATTGAATTTACTAATGAATGATCATGAGTTTATTTGTAAGCTTGCTGAACAAAAATCTAGCAATCAATGGCATCAATTTGTTCAAAACAATCTCATTCTAAAAGAAGGATTTGTTAATAAAAGAAAAGGCTTGTTTGCAAGGCGACGCATGCTGTTACTTACCACCGGACCACATCTTTATTATGTTGATCCTTTCTCTATGACACTGAAAGGAGAAATACCTTGGAGCAATAAACTTAAAGTTGAACCAAAAAACTTCAAAATCTTTTTTGTGCACACGGTGAATATTTCTGTTTTCTATACAATTAAGAAGTTTTCAAGCAAAAAATTTATCAATGTTATCAGTAATTAACTTCATAGAAAAATTTTATTTTACAGCCAAATCGAACTTACTATCTTGAAGATCCTCAAGGTTTTGCTCTTGATTGGTGTCGGACTATTGATGATGTGCGGATTCATTATTATGGACAAAGTGATAACCCATAAGTTTATAACATATAAAATATGTTTTTGTTGTATAAATGTATGCAATTTTATCTTACATCACATTTTCATAGATAAAAGTATTTCTTATGGGTAGTTGAAAATATAGAAGTTAGAGGTACAAACATAGTTCTGATTTCACTGACGATTCATTTTTATAACTCATGAATTTGAAGTTTGTTATCACATTTGAAATTTTATAGTATAATAATAATCTATAAATAACCAAAATGCCCATAAATGTATTGTAAAAAATATTAATCAATTAATAGTATTTCATAAAAAATGTTATTTATCTATTTTATTGTTGTTAAATACATTTATGGTTTTTAAAATTTATTACATATTTTTGTAATATACTCTATAGCTTGTAAATTCTAGTAAAAAAGAATGTGATCTTTGATTAGAAAGAATAAGAGATTATGTTTTTAAGCTATCAGTAGACTACTAGTTGTATAATAGATCTATAATGATGTAAAAATCTTTCTGAGATTAAAGAACTGAAAAGCTGTTGTTGTAGTAACAATGTAGATTAATTGAAAATTAATAGAAAAAAAATAATTTAAAATAATAATGAAATTTCAAACATAACTTAAGAACCTTTAATTATAGAGTTTATCAAATATTTTTTGCCAAATGTGTGTAGTCTATTACAGATGTAACATACGTTCATTCATGCCATATAAGTGTCGATAACATTTTTTTAAATTAGGCAAAATTGGTTGCAATTGTTATAATTTATAATTTTTACTTTTAATGCATCACTATCACCTACATACACTGTGTTTTATTATGGACTAAGAAAAAATGGATTGGCAATGTTTGTAATTTTTCCAATAATACATATTTCATTATAATGAATTAATATGCTTAATTTATTTTAATACAAATTAATCAAGTATAGTATAATCATGGATGTATTAATACATGTTTAGTTATGATCCACCAAATGTTCTTTTAGTCCAGTTATATTTGTAAAAAGATTAGGACATTTGTGACACTTTAAACTTGTTCTTAAATAAGCTTCATATTTTTGAACATCAATATTAACATGACCATATTTTTCAACTTGTTTGCAGATATCTAAAATAAAAAAATTATAAATTGAAAAAGAACAGACAAACTTAAAAATTTTAAATGAAAATTATTTTACCTTCTGATGGGATAAAATAAGGTGTCGTAAAAGTATTCCAATGTTTTTTAGTTTTCAAAAAAGGACTATCAAAGTCGGTACTGATTACATGTAAATGCAATCTATGCATGTGAGGTAATGCATGATATCCAATCCTACAAAATAATATGTAAATTTTTAAATGGATAAATGTTTATAATATTTAGAAAGTACGTAATTAAATATTTTACTGAAACTGTTCATTTTCATGTCTTTGTACAAACTTATGAGCAACTAATTCCATATGCTTTAAAATTTGTAAATCATCTCTGGTCACTTTTTCAATTGAAGGTATATCTTTTTTAGGTAAGATCAAATAATGAAAGCGTGCTTTTGGATAATAATCTTTTATTACAAAGATATAATCATCCTCTTCTAATATTGATGCAGGATCATTAATAGATGCAATGAGTCCAAGTGACCAATGCATTGGAGGATTAGAATAATAAGCTGCATTTTTTGGAATTCTAGAATCCATATTCATTTCTGAATTATTAATATTTATTTGGAAGTACACTTATTGCCAGTTACCACTAAGAAATAAAAAATCAAATCATAAGTTCAATTGTAAAAATTACAAAATAATTTTGTTATCATGTAAAATCAAAATAAAAACTTTGGTACGGAGGCATATAGTGATTATATTTCGAGACATTGACAACGGTTTACATTAGAACATCTAACATCTTATAGTAAACGGACAGAAATTATAAAAATTACTATTAAATTCTAGATAATTACATGAAAACTGTAACAATTTTATAATTTTATAATTTTCCGATACTTCCGATTTAGTCGAGGTTTTTTAGAAATTTATTAAAGTGTACTTACCATCAATCACGTGAAATAGGTATTGATGAATAGGAAAATACGAGAAATATAACTACAGTTAATCCATAGCTAACTGAAAATTCTTCAACCCCCCTTCCTTTCAGTTGTAAACACACAGCGGTTGTACTAGAAGAGTGGGGAACAAAACTCAAGTGGGGGAGATCCGATCATCAACCTCAAGGTTCAAAATAATTGTATCGATATATATTTTTGCGAAATATACATAATGACATGTTGGTTCTAAGAAATTGATTCTCCAGGATGTTTTTATGCATTGAGCATAAAAATTCGATAGCTTACATTTTTTGCTGATAAATAAGTAAAGAGCTCATAGGTATGTTTATTGTTTGGTCGACTAAGAGTAAAAAAATCTTGTAGAGTCTATGAAAAATTAAATTCCACCGGTGGTCCAAGTTTTACTTAAATTTAGATGATATCTTTTTTAAGCGTATTTATTCACGAAATAACAAAAAAATGTAAGGGTGGCATGAAAAATATAGAGAAAATATTGTTTACACTGTCACATTTCTGATACTTTTTTAAACCATTGCCTTTTCAGCGAAAAAAGGATCTGTGAAATTAGTAAGTAGTAAGCATTATCGGTTTAATGAATTTTTTGAATCTGACGTTAAATTTTCGAAAAAAATTAATGGGTCAAAAGTTAAGGATAATATTATGCAGAAAAACTGGTGTTTAAAAAAAAGCTTCCTTTTCTTTTTGATTTTAGACATGGACATCGTTTTAAGTACACATTAAGCGTTCATGGGTCCTAAACGTAAAGTTTATGATGATTTAACTTGATGAAATAAAATTTTAAGCGCACAAAAAAGCGTCTCGAACACGAAAAAAAATGAAAAGCCTTCCGGAATTTTTAACCTGAAAACGATTAATTTAAGGAAAGAGCGTTTCTAATGAAAAAGTTCTTATGATTTATCAAAGAATACGATGGTGTTTTTTTATTTTTTCAACAAATTGAAAGATTTTTCGAAAATTGCAAATTTAAAAATTTGGAGAAATTCTAGCTTGTTCTTCGATCAATTATAGGAATTTTTTCATCTGTAATATTTTTTCCTAAAAAACCTTGTTAAAAGTATTGAAGTCTTATGGTTGGGTGATCAATTTCATTCTAGTAACACTGCACTTACTGCACTGCTACGCGCAGCCTAGTAGGTTAATAAACGTGGATTCTAACTGCAATGACTTAATTTTTACCCTTCATCGCTAAATATTTTCTTCGAAAGTCCGGTAACATGTACTTTTTAATAAATTATTCGAATGATGACAATTTCAGCTTCATAATCAACAGTTGTTTATTATTTTCTCAACACAATTGTGTTCGATCGAAATTTTCGATAAAGAATTAACAAGTTATAGCCATTTAATATTCAACTTTTAATAAACTTTCACAAGAGTCGGAAAGCGAAGCCCGCTTTAACAGATAGGCTAAAATTCTAAGGATACATAAGGAGAGTCATAAGCAACAACAATCCAAAGTTTCACTCCCGTAACAACACATTTGATTTATCACCCAATCATCTTGAATGATTGGGTGAAATGAATGAAATACACCTTGCAACAAAGTTATCGCAACAAAAATTCTTGTAGAAATTTTTTGAATTTTCAGATGTTTCTATCTTTGTCTATTTGAATCGTATCGAGACAATAGTTTTTAGATTTTTTGAAAATTTTTTTTTCTTCAAATCCATATGAATATACCATGAATGGGTTCAAGGCAATATTGAGTAGTATTTGAGCGCAGCTCTAAAAATTACTTTATTAGTAATTTTTTCATCAAAATCTAACATAAACTATCACAATTTACTCTGCTCAATTTGAATGTTAAAAAAAAGTTTTTTATACGATTATTTCTGCGTTCTGAAGGAACTATTTGAAATACGCAGAACATCTCGTTTAGCTGAAATCGACTCGATGTAAGGTTCTTTGCGTAACAAACAAATGGTACCTTCAAAACGGCCTATAGGGTGTAATAAAAGTCGTAGAGACCTCTCTTTTTTTAAATTACTCATTGAAAGGAGTATTTTGCGATCATGTATGTTAGATTTTGATGATAAAATACTGTAGTTCTGGTACACGTTTAAATAATCAATTTTTTTCATTAATTTTTAGTGTTTCGCTCAACTAATACTAGTTAATACGATAAAGATAGACAAAGATAGATGCATTTGAAAATTGAAAAAATTGACAAAATTTCGACTTGTTCCACAGTGTAAAATACTTTTAGCATTTTCGGTATGATCAGCATTAATTTGTCAACTCCGAGTGGTTGTCTGTTAATAAGAGACCTCGAATTTCAAATGATAAATCAATTATAAAAATTGTATATTCATTAAATAAATGAAGAAACTGTAAAATAATATATTTTATTAATACTTTTATTATATTTATTTTCATTTACAAAGCTAGGCTAAGTACTTAGTATTTTTTTTATAACGCATCAGTACTTGAGTTTTCTCAATCAGGTTAAATTCAAGCTTTTAATCAATACACAAACTCAATTACATAGTTAGTCAATGAATAAAAATTATACTTATTACATAAGTTTGTAATTAAATTCTCACTTTTTACTCTTCCTTTTGTAGGTACACTATTCTGAAATTAAAATTGAATTACGTAGCAATTTCCTAATTCAATTCAAAACGACACTTTAGATTTCTTTGGAAAATATATATATTTTTTAGCAAAGTCAAAAATTTTTCTCGAACAGTCGAGTCCTTATTAAATCATCACTATTTTTCGCGGCACTAAGTAACATCGAACAATTCAGTGATTCAACAATATTTTTCAAGCGAATGATTTGTACTCCTTGTCTATATCCAGTATTCATGGATAACAGAGAGATCGATGATTAGTTACTTAAAATTACGATGCAAAATCATTTTGCCCATTCTCCCAAGCAAGAGAAAGTTCGGAAGACATTTTTAATTCTGAATCTTCTATATTGAAGAAATTATCGGCGTCTTGACTATTGCACAATAACGGATCATAAATATCATTCGAATTTAGATTACGAGAAGAAGAGTTCATCTGACGACTACTCATTGAAGCACAATTTGAAAAACAGTTCATACTAGTTTCCGTCTCCAGCGGAACATCGTTTTTGGTCGACGAATGGGGAATTAATGAATTAAACCAATCAGGCTCATCCACTTCCATAGGTATATCTTCTATATCCATTAATTCATGAGAATTTTCGATTTTTACGTCGAATTCACAGCCTAACTCTCCAAAATCCACTGTATCGAGATCCAATTCAAGTTCCTACATAAATCATAATAATATTTTTAAAAATTATAAAACGTCTACTCGATGGTCAAAATAATTCATAAGTTTGTTGTTTTTATACTTATAAAGTATAACAATACCATGAATCATAGTAACTGCCAAATAGATAATCTTTAACAATTATATATAAATCATTTACATACCTTAAGCTCAAGATTATTGTCTTGAGAAGATTTAACATCTGAAAGCGAGCGTTGATTTGAAGAGGACTGACTTTTGGCATTTTGAGTCAGTACTAGATCAGTCTTAATTTCGGTATCGATATTTTCTAATGTTCGACCCGATTTTGAGGTACAAAATGATTGTTGATTAGAAGCAGTATAAGATGGTGATACATGTGGTGTTTGTCTTTGATAGTTTTCGCATTCACTTTGGTTTATATTCATGGAATTGGAATCAGCATACAGCAAAATTGAAGATTCTGATGAAATATCTTCTGTAGAAATCATTGGGGAAACTCGATTCATTTGTTGACCATCTTGCGCCATTGGAGTAACCAGTTCTTGGGCAGCACTTGGCGGCAATTCACCATTACTTATAAGAATTTCTAATACATCATCGACCATTTGACTTTTCACTACGTTTCGTGTAACGGGCTCAATTTTCACCTAAGAAAAAACGGTATTATTGTGAATCAAAAATGCATATTTTTATTACGTACTACGCAACTTCAAAGAGCGTGTAAATATTTTTACGAAAATTTATTGAGCGACTAAGCGATAAAATTAATTCTTTGATCGGACATTCACAAAATTTCAGTTTTCATGACAACAAAAAAGTAACATACACCTATAAAACAATAATTAATTCTCTTTCAGAATCCATTTCCGAAGGCTTTTTTTCAGAAGTCTTTGAAAACTGAAAGAAATTTGGGCCTCTGAAAATAGGTGATAGGCTAATTCAAAAGTATTCTTAAAAAATTTATGGTTTTTTTGTATTTTGCACTTTTTTATTTCAGACGCTCTTTTTCGAGTAAGAAATCCGGAATGATTTTATAACAATCGTACTTTATGATACAAGTGTCTTAAATAACCCTTTATATCCTTGCGGGGCATAAGTTCACATTTATGACACGCTTTCCGGTAGCATAAGTCGCACATTCTGACACCACGTCGCTCCTATCACACTCGCTGTGCTTTTAACTTGAAAACAGTACTTTACGATACAAGAGCTATAACTAACACTTTACGGCACGGCGTAGTTTAGGGCTTGAGTGCAGCGAGGGTCCTAATAGTCGTGTTGGAAACTGTCTCCTATTGCCCGAGTATCGTATTCAATATACGACGCATGAGTACGATGCACAAGTCTTAATTCGTACTTTCTTGTACCGCTGAGTGAGATTAGCGTACAAACGTAGCAAGTGAGATGCGAAAGACGCGATGACAGAAAGTGTAACACACGGTGTTATAAAAAAGAAAATGATGTAAAAAATGAGCCTCAAGGCCCATGGGTTCAAACGAAATAATACGAGTGCATTATTTGAGTACAGATCGAATGCTGTGAAAAAGTCTAATAAAGAGTCAAGGTGCGAAATACCGCGGAAGAAAAGAGTCACGTAAAGTGTTGAATGAGCACGAAAACCGGATGTACTGTTCCACGTAAGATTATGTATTGTATTTAGAAATGTAAGAAAAAAATACACTTTTTTAAATTTTTAATAAAGAATGTATGAAAGATCAACTTTTATCGCGGCTCAAATAATTTTTTTTTAAATAGTTTGATTACGCAGACATTAGGAGTAAATTAGATCGAAAATTCGATTCGCATAAACCATTGGAGCTATCGAAACGTGAATAATTTAACCATTCTAGTAAATCAAAATAATTGTTGAATTGCTATTAGTTCTTACCTTAAGTAAATTAGCCGATTCATCATATTCAAATAAGGTACTATTATCGTTATTGGAAGATGCTTCATTTTGAGCTTGAGCCACTAAAGCCTCTAAAATTGATCCATTGAATTTCGTTGGCTTCGATAAATTTAAAACAATCGCTGAGGGCACTTGAATATTTGCGTCATTACTAACATCTAAATTGTTAGTTGCTGAAATGTTTTTGCTCTGGTTTTTTTTATTATTTATGGCTGTAATGGAAGCAGACTGAACCACATCGGTGTTGCTTGTTTGGTTTTGTTGAAAAGTCTTTGAATTGAGTTCCTGCAGGGCTGAATTATGATGATATTGTAACTGTTGTAATTGTTGGAGATGTCGAGCAAAATTTTGCTGTTGCATTTTATTTTGAAGATGTTGCTGAAGTACGAGTTTTTCAGTCTTTATAGGTTGTTGTGACTGGTGTTGCTGTGTGCGTGCTTTGGATAATTCTTGTTTCAGTTCTTCAATTTTTTTAAGATAGGCAAGCTCTTTTGAAGTAGTTTCTGTAATTGAAGTAAGTTTTCCTTTATTCTCTTTTGTTTCCGGAGTATCTTCATTTTTTGCCTCAACTTCATCAGATTGTGACTTATTCGGAATTTTATCTGATGTCAATGAAACTGGCGTATCCATCAGTATGTGGCCCATTTGTGTTAGGTGCTGACCGTTTAAACATACTGCTCCATTTTTGGAAACTTCGGTAAAAGGTTTCAAGCGTTCGATAAGTTGAGGCTTAGAACCTGACACGGGTAAATTTCGTTTTTTCAGTTCAATTTTCAAGTCGCATACTAAAAATTGAAAAATTAAAATCAAGTTATTCATTTTATTCTATTAAAATGAAGTTATTTCAGCTTAATAATCAATTATAAGCGAAAATAATCGATTTACTTCGATCAATGTATCATTATTATAATATTTTTCTCTAAAAATTTTCTTATTTTGTATATAACTAAAAGAGGCCTAAAATATGCAAATTAAAGGTCTTAAAAATACCTTTAATTTGCCTATTTCAAAGGTTTGATTGCTTCAAAATTGACTGCTTTAGAACCGTTTGAATATTACTGAAAATCCACAAAATTAGCTATTTACTTGAACTACGGTTGAAATGTGGCTTTCGACGAAAAACTCGGGGTCAATTTTTTTTGAAAGGGTACTTTTTGAGACGAAAAAAATGATTCCAATTACGTCTCTGATAAGTCAAAACTATCCCGTGTAGAATTTTTTCAAAATTTTAGGAAAAGTCTTTTTTAATATATTTTTCAGATTTTTTTGAAATATCGCCGCGCACACTTTTTTAAAATTAAAAAAGGAGAATGACCCAGGACATGATATCTGTCCGGATCGACTTCACTTGTTCCGATTATTCGGAGTCTATCTATACGTTTATGAGAAGTTTTCATGTCTAGCGTGAAGTAAGGTCCGGACAGATATTGTGTCCGTCGGGTCTATTTCATATGGAATGTTATAAAAATGTAACATTAACAGTGAATTGGTTAAACTGATGCATGGTACCTTGTGTAGTAATATAAAATTACCTTTCATATCCTCTAGTTTACCGAGTGGTCTGAATGGAGGCTGTTCCGTCGTAGACTCACAAGACATTATGTTTGATTGTCTAGAATTAGAGACATTTGATTTTAATTCTTCCTTCGCAACATTAGAGTCTGTAGACATTGGTTTGATTGACCTTTGTGTAGCAGGTAAAATCAGTTGTGGATACTGAAACAATAATGTATATTGAACATTTTGAAAAACAGCCTTTTATTATGAAGATGTCGAAATCAACCAAAAATCAAATTTTCAATTCAATTTTTCAGACTTTAATTGAATATTTTTCTAATAAGCTTTATGATACAAGCCGTTTTAATGTTTGGTACTATATGGTACTATAGAGTGCCTAGGAGAAATATTCAGTCAAAATTTAAAACGATAAAAAATTTGATTTATAACACTCTAACCTAAAAATCGCAACTTTGCCGCTACTTTCAAGCTTTATGCCATAAAAATTGAACTTGTGTGAATGAGCATTTTCAATAAAACTCGTTATAGCACTCGTCTTTGGCTGGTTCTGTAGCCCCTCATTTTGCAGAAATAGCATATCCACACTTTTTGTATAATATTCGCTCTGAGCGTTTGGGCGGAGCTTAGAGTGGCGCTACAGTCATCATTTACACGTAATCTTATGGAAAAATAGGACGCGTCTTGAAAAAATGCCAGCGTCGGCCGTTCGAACTAAATTTTTTCTTATTAGAATTAACATGAGAAAGCGCCACGCTGTGTGAACGCTCGGGGCCAATACTATTTTACGCAGGCTATTATTTTTTGTGATTTACATTTGAACACTACTTTACTAAATATACTAAATATGATTTACTAAATATGAACAGCAAACACATTGAAATTTCAAAATTTTCAATTTTTAAAATTTTCTTTGCTATAATCGCATATATCGTTCATTCTCAGCCCTCAATTATGCTCCCAGACACTGGTGTTGACCGATATAGGATGACCACAACTGCTCTGATAAAACACAATAACTTACACTCGAGTAAAACATAGTTTTCAGTTTACTTGAAAATCCAACTCGTTGTGGCATTCGTTAAAACCAATACTAAAACACAACTTACTGGCACCAGTCGGGGACATGGGAGAAAAATATTTTCAACATATGCAAGTATGGTTTTTTAAACTAACTCGAACCGGTATTCTCATTTTTTGGAAAAACTCTACTATTGCATCTTTTAAAGAACATAAATATTACTTACTTTATTTTTGAATTCGACTTGCCACTGAAGAAAAAGTTGTTGTTGGCGAAGTAGTAACTCATAACTTGTTTCATTTGATTGTGTACAAGATCGATTTGAAGCCCCACCCATTCTTTGATGATTTGGCGGACCCTGATAATAAATAATAGTTTTTTTTTAGTAAGAATTTCAAAAAATACAAAGTTTTAACAAATACAAAGAAGTATTAAATTATGTGATTGCTATGAGTAACATGTTAGAATTTAGTTAGTTTGACTTCTAAATTTTTTTTCTCTCTATCTTCCTTCACGAGAAGGCCTGCAGGAGGCTATTGGCCTCGAGTCTGTGACATGTAGCGCCCATGGTGTCAGGCAAATGAACTGTGAGCGGTCAATGCTAGTAAGAGTTAATGTATAAAGATACATTAGAAACCCCGAGTAACTGCATTTTTTATAAGTAAAAAAGGATTGAAAACTGAAGTGAAGAAAATAAAAACGAAAAGGTGTTGTATGCGTGACTGCAAAAGTAAGAATGGCGTAACACAAGTGCCTTTTTATTATTTCCCTACAGATAATAAGCTATTTGCCTTTAGAGTAACTCGCAGAAATGCTTGTTTTATCAATGTAATGTTGTATTATCAATGATTGTTTATTTATCAGTTGTTTATGGTGGGTGCCTTCGTGACTTTGTATGTAAATACATGCAATCGTACACATTTCTAGACCTCTCCCAGTTCATGATACCGCCACGGCGCGCTTGGCGCTGCAGTCGATACTCGAGGCCAATATAGCCCGTGCGTAAGAGAAATGTTACTACCCCCTCCCCATCGCATCCCATATACCAACAAATTTCACTTAAAAAATAGCGGTCGTTGGCTAAATACGTAGCGTGCCGGGTATCGCGACATAGTTCGTTCGAGAAGACGTGGGTTCAAATCCTAATGAGGGCAATTGGATTTTTTCAATTGTCAACCAGCAGGATAAAAATCCACGGCCTCTCGAACGAATGTTGTCTCAATACCCGACTCGCTATGCATTGAGCCAACGACCGCTTTTGTAAAATGTAACTTATTTAGGCGAGTTGGATATAGACAGTGAGGGAAAAATAAGATCATACGTGTTTTAAGATGTGATACTAGATGGAACTTGAAAAAAAATTTTCTTTTGGCCCGGGCCAGAAAGAAAAGTGATTTTTATTAATGCACCAGACACGTGGATTTTTACCGTGCAAAAATAAGATTTTCGTTCTTTATTATTACATTTTGTGATTGAATAATTAAAAAATAATCATCAAAAAATTAATTCAAAGTATTTCTAGACTCAAAGAAAGAAAAAAAATATTTTTATGCAATAGTATGACGAAAAATGTCTTTTTTCGCACATTTTATAGTGCGCAAAAAGCGTTTTTGGACACCTGTGTGCGGTAAAATGCCCCATTTTGGACACGGGTGTACGGTAAATACGCTCATTTAAATGAACGTATTTTTCGCCTACTATTGCATAAAATTTTGTATGCACGTGCCCAGCTTTTTGCGCACACTCGTGCCCAAAAACGCCTTTTGGGCACTTGTTACATAAATAACTATTATTTGGCTCGGACCAAACGGAAAAGTCGTTCGAAAATTTTTAAATTCGATTTAACCCGTCAACGCCCAGGCGGACAGAATTTTTTACTCTTATGTAGTCTGTAATTAAATCATCTTATCGGAGCGAGAAAAATTCTTGAGTACTCATTTTATATGTTAAACTTAATGTAATTTTTAAGGAGGTACCTGCGTCGAGCTAGCCTAGGGTTTTTTTTAGGGACAAAAGTGTGTTGAGCGACACAGTTGTCATAAGTCACATCGTCTGCTGCGCTGCTATGACAAGAGGCGATGATGATGATTTTTCGATGTGAAAATGTTTAATAAATGTTTATTATATGTATAGTAAAATAAATGTTCTTTTTTTGGCTCTTTATAATCTTATCTTATTATTTAAATAACACAAAGCTAATCAGTAAATAATCTTATGTAATTCTCGTGCAGTTTACGAAATTTGAATAGCGAGGTTATGAACGTGTATCGCGCGCGCTTGCTTTCGACGACCAAAGTCACTAGACATGATGCTTAATTTGTTTATATCTCAGCTCACAGCTAACCAAACTAATCAGAGTTTTTTTCATACATTATTAAATTATTATTTCTACGTGCATGCAAAATTTCATCAAGATCTCTTCAGTAATTTTTCAGATATCTTGAATTTCCCATAAGGCCCATGTTAAAAACGCAAAATTGTAACTCGCATAACTTTTCTCATAACTAACTAAACGTTTTTAAATTTTCGGGGAATCATTATTGCATAAATGTCTAACTATCTGTGAAGTTTTATCAAAATCTCTTCAGTAATTCTAATCGCGCAGGTACCTCCTTAAATAAGGGTTTATAAATAACCTATGATAAATATTAAAAAGTAAGTGTAAGTAAAAGTAAGAGTAAGTCAAAGTAAACTTGTTTGAATAAAACACCAAGGTGTCCGTTCAGATCACCAGGTCGATAATTAGACTTAGTGATAACTTCTGAGGAGAAGTCGAGGTTTTCAAACTTCAGGATACAAGCTTGGTGCACTTGGTACAAAATCGAACTCGATAACGTATTCTCTGAGGCAGTTCAGCTTTTATCCGACTTAATTACAGCACCAGGATACAATATAGTTGCACCAGATTGATGATGGAGCTTTGTGACGACTTCCTCCAGGAAGGCAAGTTTTAAAACTTTTTTTGGCATTTTTCCGTTTAAGTGCTTCTATCTTGAGATAGAAAATAGAAAAGATTTTTAAATAAAATAGAAAAGATTTTTAAATAAAATAGAAAACACTTTTAAAAAGGGCCTTAAGGCCCACGGGATCAAACTAAGTACAAGAAGCATTATTATCATGTACCAGGAGATTCGAAATAAATTTTTCGGAAATATTCTTCACCCACAGCTGAAGTGGTCTCCTTACTGACGCACTACGCTTGTATTCTCATGTCGTAATAAAACTAAAATAAAATACTTCGATTTTTTGAAGCAATTGTTACAAATTTTCACTATCGACCTGGTACACTGAGCGGGGGCACCTTGGTAATTTATTCGAGCAAAATTACTTCGACTTCTTAAAATCATCGTTGAATTTACTTTTTCACTCAGTGTATCAACGTGTATCCTAGAGATTTATTTGAGGTAAAAAATCACGAAAATTTATGCGTGACTGCTGTAAATCCTGATACGACTGGATATCAAGCTAAAAACCAGCTAATTTAAGCGAAATCAAGCAATGACTTTTGACAAAATATCCTAGCTCTTTATTGTTAAAAAATAAGCTGTTAACAAGAATTAAATAATCGTGTTATACTTTGATTTGGTAATATCTTTGACACGTAAAAAAGAGGCGGTGCCATTTTGTACATGTATGACTGTAAGAACAGTAGTACATAGTTTGATATGGACCGAGCCATTACTTCACTATAATTCCATTTTTGGTCATTGGCAGGAAAGTATAACAAGTGTTCATATGAAAGTATTTATGTCTCTTTGTCAACCGCATTATGATTAAATAAAACAATTACTGCTTACCTTATATTCGTGGAATTTTATGGTTCTTGCTTTCTGTTGGTTTTTGATTTTAGATTTTTTTCGATTTTTCTCTTTACCAGGAGCATCACATTTGGATTGTGAAGTTACTAAAATAGGACTAGATTGTGAATTCGAGTTCACATTTGATGGTGATACCATAGAAATATTCGGTACTGGTCGGAGATTTGGCACAATGGAAGTTACCAGTATTGGTTTTTGAACTGTAGCTAACGAAACCAAATTACTAGCTGAGTTCATACCACTTGATAAATTACCAAAGTCTTGTATTCTATGATCGATAACCTACACAAAACAATCAAAATTTCCAGCATATTATCAAAAATAATCTATCATAAATGTTAAAAGGGATAGTAAAAACGACTTTTTTATATTTAGGTGCAAAGAGTTAGTTGTTTTTGTGATTTAAATAAATTTTAGTTTCACTTTTGTAATGTACATTTTGTAAAATGCTTCAATAGGGCCTGTAAATTTTCATTTTAAAGTTATTACCTGAGACGTAGGGACGGATTGTTTTGGAACATCAGATGAGCTTATAATTTTATCTCGAAAATTGGAAGTATTTTGAGCTATACATGAAAGGTCGTCGTTATACGCATTTGACGTATTGATACTAGAGCCATCAATAGTGACTGTATTATCGGGCGCTTCATTTTTTTTTAATTTTTCTGATTCAGTATTATTCACAGTGAGATTGGAAACTTGCTGATTTGTTTCCATAGAGTTTAATGATGGTGAAGGTGCTCCACCTTCCGAACTTAATGAGTCATCTTCAAAACTTATATAGTGGTCTGGGTGTTGAGGTTTTGTCAATTGACCTTCACTTGTGGCCTTGAACGGTATGTGACCCTCTATTTTAATAATTAATATACTTGTTTATAAATCGTAATCGCTTCGTAATAAGAAGATATAATTTATTTATTACTAACCTTTAACTGCTCTTTCTATAGGCTCTTCAGTGTGTAAAATATTTTTTTGTATGAGTTCAAGTGGCCCTGGACGGTGACTAAGTTGATCATTAAGTTGATCAGCTAATTTAGCTTTTTTTAACATTCGATGACGTTCAGCTAAACTTGGATCTATCTGTTTTATGTCTTCAAGAATATGTTGTCTAACCAGTTCTTCTCGACCAGGCCTTTGTTGAATTTTTACCTTGAGCATGTCTTCAGTTTTTCGACGTTCTTGTTGTTTTGTCTGTTCGTGTAATGATACCGGTGACTTGAAAGCTAGAATTATAAGGTACTTGATAATTTACATTGTACCAAAACAAATATTAATAAATTTGTATTGTAAACGACTTTTTTAACGTAAAACACTCATCAGTTTCTTATTTTATTTTCGAAATTCTCGAAGCTGCTCGATACTAAACTGAATATGTCGGTGTCATTAATAATAAACTATACACAATTTTAGTATAAGATATATTAAATTATCTGTTAAAATTTAAGACCCAATATACGATCTAATTTTCTAAAACAAACCATTCGTAAATTTTACGTGGGGTCTTACGAAGAGTTATGTGAAATTGATGATATTTCACGTGATAACTCTCAAATGTGTCGCTAAACAATTGAAAAACGACGTAAGACAACGTGAAGTTATTAACTCTGGTTTAAAATATTAAACATCTGCGTTATCGATCATTTAAAAAAGTTATTTAACATTATAGTAGAAAAATGTAATTCTTTGACTCGATTGATAAGTTCATACATGCGCTGTAAGCTTAAAGTGATCTAAAAACTCATTGAGAATAAAATTCAGCGAGGTTGACTGAAGCACCTAAATAGTAGCGACTCAAGCCGATTTAACTCAATAGTTGAGTAGATTTAATTAAGTAGATTTAGCTGTCCCGTAAAAACTACCGAAGTATTGAGTTGAATCGGTTCGAACCGTTACTACCGCGCCAGTTGAGGAGGCTGTAGCGATGCAAGGTGGTTCTGTATTAAAACACTATGTGGGCAAGGCTATATGCGTTACGCAGCGCACAGCGTTAGCATAGCAGAACATAGGGGAAATGTGTTGGACTCTTAATATCTTTTTTATTTGCCTGGAAATACCCATTTATAATTATATCATTCGAAAGCAAATAAGATTTCCTATAATATTTATTAATTTCATTAACTTGTAAAGTGATTTGAGCTCACAGTACACTAAAAACTGACACTTCCCATAAGATCTATAGTTAAATAGCCAAAACTTTGAATCTCATTATTTCCCACGTTTGCATGGCAACCCCAAATTTTTTTTAACAAAAATCTTGTAATTTCATAAACTATCATTGGTTAAAATTTCACTTCGATCTAAAGTTTTTCCATTTTTGCTACTGCCTCCTTAAGTAGAATTTACTTGGGAGCTTCAGTCAACGCCACCTACTTTTATTCTTAGTGTACGAAGTGCCTATTGCCCATAGTAAACTACTTGCTGAATATTGCAAAGTCTTACACCATTATTTATTACATAAACTATAGCGACATATCGAGACTGTGTAAGATTTGTGATTGGAAGAACCACTTTTTTCTGTCTAGAATTCTGCATACAAAGCTGGCTCGATAGTTTTGGTACCGTGCATGAAGATAAATAGACGGCACCATCAGAATGATCATTCATATCAATGGTCATTCTAATGGTGCCCCAATTGAGGGGCGGAAATAACAACCTCTTAGGCTTAAGTGATAACATTGGAAATCTGTAGAGCCACCGAATCAAACTTTACGTCAGAGTTATGGACTCCACTCTATTACATATGTCTGTCAGCGTCGAGATGTTGTGCCGAGCTATCATATATATAGGTCGACCTGGCGCGGGGGCGAATTGACGCGCTCCCATTTACAATAAGATAAAAGGTTATTATGGCAACTAATTGACATGAATTTCTCATGCCCAAATAAATTTTAAGACCGGCTGCGTCAACAGATGGGGCTAAAAAATTAGAGTGTCATTCTTCTTACTTGTACATAAATAACGATTGATTCGATCCCTAATCCGAGTCGATGTCAAATTTGACATTCTGTGTAAAATTTTAATTAAGAAATTGCAGAAACATTGAAGAATTGTCAGATGTTTCAGATTGGTTGGTTATAAAAATTATCACAATCATTATAATTCAAAAGAAAGTTATTTCGTATTACATAAGCAGCTTCTCTTAAAAAAAAAGACTAGTCAAGGTCCTGGGAAGGGGCAGATTTAATATTCAAAAAGTACCTCGTTCACTATCGGTAATAATATTATTATAATTTAAAAAAAATAATTGAATCAACTTACGCGGCATGATTCCTTGGTCAACTAGCTGGTTATATGGTCTTCTTAACATCAGCTTAACCTTCAATGCTGTAAACAATTAATATATTAGAATTTTAGTTTTACATATTATCATAATGCAAATATAATATTCATCAAGAATAGGATGATTTGTTCTTGGGTAAATTTTTAGAAATGAATATACTTTTTATATTAAATAAAAATAAAGTTTTGTGTATTTATAAACTATAAAACACAATTATGTATGAGTTTTTCAGTTTTTTTTTTTTGTTAATATGAATGAATAATTAAGATTACAATATTTGTTATACAACACGAAAAATCCTTTATGATTACCGTTTTTTGCGACATGACTCAGTAGTGAAAAGTCCTTACAATATATGTACGTATCAACACGTGATTCTCCAAATAATATATGCCCAGGAAAAAAAGAGATAAAGAAAATGAAGAAATGATCTCAATGAAGAATTGTGTTCTTCGCTTTAATTGATGCGTGGAACGGTAACAGAATTTGTGAAAATTGAAACTCTATGCTTATAAAATGTAGCACTACGTTATTTCGAAAAGTTTTAAAGAGTATGCCTAAAAATATCTTGATTCTTGTATTCGAATGAAAAATTGTGCTATTTCTTTTTATAGCCACCATTTTGTTAGAAAAAGTGATTGGAAAAATCTATAAAAATTCCATTAATTACTTTTACACCCATGATCACCTCTGACCATATTTATAACTTGAGTTTTTCACCGCAATACTTCGAAAATAATTCTTAAAGTCGATGTTTCGCACAAATTTTTACGTTTTTTTTGTTTAACAAATATTACTTCTTAACGAAGCATCAAATTTTAAATTTGAGCCTAGGTTCTGAAAAGGCATCAAATTTTACGTAAAATTATGTATGTGCGAAATCTTTTCGAGGCTTGAAACATACGGCAATTCAATTTTTTTAGAAAAATGAATTTTCAAAGAACGCAAAAAAATATACTACGCATTGTACTAAATTGTACTACTTAAACTACATACAAATGCCCATCGCAAACATTTGTACTGAATGAATAAAGTAATTCATAATGAAAAGAAAATGGCTTCAACAATAACAGTTGCTCCAGAACCTTGAAACATATGAAAAATATAAAATGTATACAATTAATTAATAAAACCAATTCTATTAGTTTTTTTTACCAAGAAATTGTAAAAGACATTTGGCAATGAAATCATATGTACTTGAAGCATTAATCATGAGAAAAGTTTATATCAATAACACAGCTATATCGATACTGAAATGTAAATGTAAATTTAAAAATTAATTTTAAACATTAAAACTTTTCTCGCGAAAAATGTAGATAAAAACGGACACCTGCATCGGCATACTTATTCTGGTTAGCTTATGAAGCAATATTAGAGTTTCTTTGAATCGCAAAAGCTATACCATTTCTGGTACTAAGACACAAACATGTTACCGTGAGAGCACGAAAAAGAGAAAGCTTACGGACTCTGTGGTATATTTAATTTATGAATTCATTGCAATCTCAAGATCGCACGTGTTCTCAATTTTAAAAAATGAACTAAATGGAATTATTTAAAAAAATCATTGTTTTTTTCATTATTAAAAATATTCCGAAGCTAGTGTAAGAAGTACGTTTAACTTTTATTGAAAAACTTGAATAAGCCTCGAGGAAATTAATTATTAAAAAAAGGGGACTAGCGTAAGAAATTTCGAAATGGAGGAAAAAGCTTATGCTTTTCGGAGACTGTTTTATTACAATTGATTGACTAGAAAAAATACATCAATTAAATCGTATAACGAGGTAAAATATTCGCTAAATGACTTTCATAACACTAAAATAAGAGAAATTATTTGAACTGGTAATTGTTGGAACGTAATATTTTTTAATTATTAAACCAATTTAACGGGAGCGGAAAACTTACTCGCTTCAAATTTGTTTTTTGGGATTGAATTTTATAGTAAAGTCGAAAAATGGAATATTAATTTTCACTTTTTTTATTATAATCAAACTATGTTTATTGATTGCTCGATCGTCTCGTAATCGATGTATGCAAACAAATCAGACAATATCACGTCATTTTCATGTGTCGAGAGAGAAAAACAGAGAAAGACAGAGAACGGCACATGTGTGGGTGTTCCGATACGTAATGCAAGGCTTTATAAACATCTTGGTCGTAAGCCCACGCATCTTTTCCTGTTTTTACTTTCTTTTTCTTTCACTTGAAACCGGATAGCCTTGCCATACCACCAGTCACTATGTGAGTTTTATAAGCGTTATTTGTGTTAGAAATATTAAATGAATAAGAAGTTTATAAAGTTTCTGAACTTCCGATTTTGTCATCGACAATTTTCGATTTTTAACATTAAATATAAATCATTCAATTTCCTTCAATTTGTTATATTATCTCTAATATTTAATATACTTAATTTTTTATACGTGTAAACAAAAAAATTAGAATGATATAAAGTGATAAATCAAATTAAATGAGCTTGTGATTTTTTTAATATTACTTATTTTTTTTAACTTCCGAAAGAGTATAAATTTATTAAATTTCATTAATTTCAATATTTATATTTCTACATACCATTTTATTATTATCTCACCTAATATATTTATGTTCTTTCGATAATATGTATAAACTATATAATCATACTGTTTAGTTAATAAAAAATAAGTTTAATTATGTATTTATTTCATATATGTCCTACCCAGATTTATTTATAGAGTAACCTTTATTTTTTAATATACCAAGTTTTTGCATGAAAGTATTGCTTCAGTATTTTTTTATTTAAAATTTATTACAAGTAGTAATACAGCTTTAATAATATAACTTACTAATCTATCAATCAAGATACCCGTTAATTGATTCAACTGCTTTTACAATTATTCGTGAATGGCTTTTCCAACTACATAATGTTCATTTTCTCAAAATAACTTCAAGCTTAAAATATTTTTTTTTTCTTTGAATATTGATTATACTTTTGTTTAATTAAATATAGTATTAATTGAATTCAAATGCAGTGATAAAATTAAAATAGTCTCGTAATTTATTATTTACTTGCAAAGTTAGAACCCAATTAAACAACTGAGTTTCTTCAAGAATAATAATTTTTTCTTACAAAAATATCATTCAAATTTAAACATATAGATTTAACTCTTCTCATGTTATTAATAAATTTTTGATTAATACTTATTCATAAATGTATAATTTATATTTAAAGTATGTTGAAAAAAAATTGTATTCTAAAAGAAAAAAATAAAATGTAGATTGCTAATGCGTTTATGGACAATGATCCCATAGTTTGAAAATTTTTAATATATTTGTAAATCGAGTAATAAGTGAAAGGTTTCTTAAAGATATCATAGCACAAGATTATCTTATAAAAAATCATAATCAACTTTAAAAGCAAAAGATGTTACCTTTATCACGTTTGACCCGCCTGCAAATAGTACACATTCGCCGTACACAATGTTCTCGTTCTGACTTCTGTACAGGATTTAGGGTAACCATCTTTACATTTGTACTAAAAAAAAACCAGTAGAACAAGGACGAGTGTTGCTGAGGGACTTTACTGCATCCAAAAGACCGGTTGCGTACTGTTATGTTTAATGCACTCAAGTCTCTAATGTAAGCTTACGTGGTTACGAAGTGCAGTGTGACAAATTCCAAATACTAATCAAAGTTCGTACGTCTAACTCATCGCGTACATTGAAATTTTGATTTCTCAACGTCATATATTTTACATTATGAATCGAATAAAAATTATTAATCACTTTTATTTCAAAACATTCGATCGAAAATACGCACATTTCTTGAATTGAAATAGCACAAATGTAATACAGAAGGTTTCCTCAAAATTTTCGTCTATTATTCATTGTTTTTATATAGGATATAGTATGCTCATGATACCTTTTTTCTAAATTTTCAATCGCATTTACTGTTTGATACTACAATAATTCCTTAATTTGATACAAACTAAGAAATATCGGTGATCCTTTCATAAAAACAATTTTCAATTGTTTCTTATTTTATGCTTTGATCTATTAGAACTATTCTTACATTATCTATGGATTCATATTTATCTAGTTTTATTTTTTTTTTAATTCACTATTTTTTCAACGAAAATCATATTCGAAAACATTTTCCTTCGGAGAGAAAAACTGTATCACAATTCCGGAGATTAAATTTATGACGTTGAAATAGTTTTGATATTTTTTTGGTTTTAAAATTATTGTTGTCAAATTGAGAATTTCAATAACGAGAAAACTAATTAATAAATTCGTCAAAGAAAAGAAACGCAATAAAAGTTCCGTTTTCTGAACTTTTTGATTTTGTACAATAGTTACCAAAACCATTGCAGTATTGCTTTACCGGAAATATAAATATTTACATATCATTTTCGTAATTAAAACTTTTTTTATAATAAAATTGATCGAAATATTTTTTTATGTATTCATGAAATGGATCTTTTTCGAAGTAAATTACGTACTTCCGGTTTTTATATTCATTGTCTGCGCAATATACATCTTCGTAAACATGTTTATTTTTTACTTTAGAATTAATAACACTTTGCCGCAGAAAATAACTTGTATTCGAGCTTCATATCTAATTTTTGATTTATTGATTGGTGTATATTATATTCAAATGAGTACAAATGTAGGATTTGAATTTTCAACCTTTTAGTATTACTTGTTTCTTTCTACATTTATAAAAATGTTGTGCTATTGAAAAAAAGTTTTTATAAATCTAACTTAATGTTGTGTTATAGTTATCACTGACATTTAAGGCAACCTTTATTTTAATAAACTTTTATTTTAATATCTGTTTATATCAAGTATTAAATAGTTTAAAATGAAATTCATCTTTCGAAAAATATTTGTTACGTTTTATAAGGCTCATTTTTATAAACATTATTCACACCTAATTTCACGAGAACATGTACTCTTACTATTTTGCTTTTTTTATTCATATTAAAAGTCACTGCACTGATGATATAAACTATCATAAAAACTTTATTCGCGACATATCCTCCTATGCACACGCATCAGTCACAAGCAAACTCATCAATTATTATCTTCTTCAATTTTTCAAACACATCTTATACACATCACATGCGCTGTCAAACGCTGTAACGCAATTAAAAATTATTAGTTTTCCCGAGGAACTTTTTACGAATCGATACCAGCTCGCGACCTCTAAGCTCACTATGAACTGAACAACTTGAGAGAAAGGTACTACTGGCTCCTTTGAAACAAGACTACCTCAGTCTTTTTTGTCCGAAGTCTCGTTCTTTTGCACACTTGACTCTTGCGAGTTGCTTTTGGTTTGCGCCTGACATCGCTATAGCCAGGCGAGCACCTCTTCCTCTCACTTCGCTGTCCTTAACAGTTTCAATAGCCAATCGTAATCGTACCTACTTCAGAGCAAATTAAACTTATACGTTTATGAAATAATACGTTAAGTTTAAATTTTTTTCTGCTTGAACACCCTATTACTTGAACAAATTTTATTCTTTCATCTTTGAAACTAAACATTTACTTAGTCAATATATATAGCTATCATTTATATAACTCGAGTATTAGAAAATCAAAACAAATTTTCCAACTTTTTTAGAAGAATAATAGGTTAATATAAATATTATTTTTTAAAAATTAAGTTAAATATGATATTTTAAAAATAAAAAAACAACTTTTATAGGGTTTTATACAACTGATATCTTTATAAATCTCAGAATTCGGCCACTCTTTAAATCTTAATTTTCAATAGTGCATTATTTGAATAAATTTAAAACCATCATCTACTGAAAAATAATAACAGATTAACTCTCTATCGAAAAATTTGAAAAAACGTAAAAAGATATCAAGTAAATTGAATAATTTTAATAAACGATTATAGTTCGTTTTTTTTACCAAGAAAGTACAGTTAAGTTCTGTAGATATTCATCAAGTATGAGTTACAGTCAAAACAATCGTGATATTTAAAATATTTTCATAAACTTAAAGTTACTCAAATCTAAGATAAATAGAAACTGTGTTTGTCACACGGGGTGAGGTGAAAGTATGGTAACCTTTGAAAAGCTTACATGATTTAAAATCCGATAAGAAATTTTGTGCTTTAGCAATTACATTGCAATAAAGAGGATAATAGTAATTAACGATACAGGTACCGTAGGTAACACTTTTTGGCACGAGAATCGCACTCAATTTCATAGCACTGTGCTAAGTGCATTATTGTGTCCTCTTTTTCGATACATAAGTCGCAATTTTCCAAAAAACACAAATGAAAAATTATATTTTTTTATCATTTTTACAGTATTTTTTTAAATTAAGTAAATGAGGATTATCCGAAGTATAATTTTACCATGAAACATAATCATAACTTCATAAATTGTGACTTTTTGACAAGGGAAATGACTATCCTCTACTCTTTTTCTTAAAAAAGTTTTGAGCTGTTTTGCGTAGGCAGATTTCTGCACGGTTCATTGTACAATGCAGTTAGTTATCACCGAGCAGCGATAATTTTTTTCCCCCCTAAAACATTTTGTATGCTTAAACATGTTCCAACTCCTCTTCCAGGAGAAAATATATCACTGCTCAGTGATAGTCGATTTAGTGCCTTGGAGACAAAACACTAGAAAATTAATAATTACATGTGCTCTGAAGCTTTCTTTCTTGTTTCATAGGTTCGTACTATTTTTCATGAATCTCCCAGCAGAAACTAACTTTTCATTTTGGGTCGCAGAGTCAAAAAAGAGTTCGTTTCAGCTGCGATAGCATGAAAACATATTTGAGAAATGAACGGGTGATTTTATAGTACATTATGAAACAGTGACATAAGCTGCGCTCGGGCGCTTACTTTGTCGTGCTCATAATGTGCTACTTATGACACGTGTACAATAAACTTTTTTATAGCACTGTGCTAAGTTCACATTTATGCCCCCTTTTCCGAGTTATAAGTCGCACGTTCTGGTACCGTAGATTATTTATTTGATTATTTAATTGCTTTATTATTGGGACCGTGGGGTATAAACCCCATACGGCCCCGAGTAGAGTGAGGTTAGCGCACGAACGCAGCGAATGTGATAGGCGCGACGCAGTGCCAGAATGTGCGACTAATTGTGTACGATACTCGGGCCATGGGGACACTTCGGCCCAGCTATTAGGACCATCGCTGCGCTCATGCCTATGAATCGTAAAGTACTAACTCTGCAACGGTTGTGAATATGTACTATACCACTGGGGGGAAGGGGGGGGCCATAATTTTACATTTATGTCCTCCTTTCTGAGTCAAAAATCGCTTTTTTCTAGTACTGCAGAGTAGCGCACAAATGTAGAACGTGACATGCGAATTACGATGCGGCTACAATGGGATACGAAAAAATATTATTAACGTTTCTAAATGAACACGACGTTAATGGCATGAAACTGGACTTCTCCCGAACTGGATTATAAGGTCATTTAACGAGGATATCTTCAATTTTCTTCCAACTTAGATGCGTAGGACAGATCTTGCAGAGCATCATGGATAATTGTGTGCTAAGGCCGGAGTTAGAATAGGATAGGAAAATTATACTAAAAACATTGCTATTTGTTACAGCAGAAGAATTGAAAGTGTTACTTTAAATTCTTTTTGAATGAAACTAGAAAATTTAAAAAACTAACAGCAGAATAAGATGACTAAGAAAAATATACATTGATTTTTGTCTTCAATTTTTTTCTAAGTGCATTTCAATATTATTTTGTGAGTTGAAAATTAAGCGATTTCACTTGAAAATAGTTGTCGCATTAACGAATAAAATGTAAAATAGCTCATCAAAGTAATTTATTTGTAAGAAATATTACTTACATTCTTTATTGCGTCCAATCGATGGTTGCAATGGTGTTTCATCAATTTCAGCATCTAATGATTCATATTCGTCTATCATTTTGACTTGAATTTTAGAACTGTCTGATGGATTTTCTTCTGTCCAAAATATTATTTTAATAATAATATATTATTGACCTCTGAAGTATCCTAAAAAAATTCCAAAATATGTATATCGAAAAAGTAACTAAATAAAAATTATTAAAGAACTTGCTACTCTTAGTATTAAGGGGTTACATAGTTTTGTGTGACGAAAGCCATTTTTTTAAAATTATATTTCCAAAACTAAAGATCCAATCAACTTGAAATTTTTACACAATGAAATTATATGATATGGCCCGAGTTAGAATGGTTTTTTGTCCAATTTTTGCCCAATACGAACATTTATTCAAACTCGTGCCAAATCATGAAATTTTTTTTTCTTTTCCTTTGGTTAATCACTAACCAAGAGTATAAGATTTGAGAAAAATTACGAATTTTTGGTTGCCAATGATCCTGTCAAGAATAGCCTGCCTAACACAGGAAAGCAGGATGACCGAGAAAAACTGACGGAAAATCAACAATTATCAAATTGATTAACCTTTTGATTTTTAAAATAAAATAAAAAAAAATTTTCGTCGCACAAAGCCACGCAACCCCTTAAGGGACTAAACTTTTTTGATGCGAAACATTTTAATTATTACATTTTCGGATTATTCAGATCCGGATTATTTCGGAGAACCATCTCCTAAAATTCGGTAGAGAAATTTGGACTTCAAGTTAGTCAAAATCAGGTTTGAGTATGTAAAAGCGTATACAATTCAATGGCATTTGAACTTTAAACGCGTTTGTCTCGAGATGATGTTTTTTTTTGCATGGTGGACAGTTATCTCCGTTGTGTTAATCTCCGGATCTTCTCAGCCGATCTTTACCTACTTCTACACACTTCTTCATTAATCTTCATTAATATGTGATAGAGGGTAACGCACCAAAAATGAAAATTTGATTAAGAAAATAAAATTGTGGAAGTTTTTTTGACTCTTTTTCAGTACTTTATCATCTCATACGTACAACAATTTTTCTTTTCTCTGTTATTTTCTGGTATATTACCATGTTATGTATATTAATGAAGAAGTGTGAAGAAAATTTGGCAAAGATCGGCCGAGTAGATCTGGAGATTCACTGTCTGCCATTCAAAAAACACCATCTACACGCTTGAACTCAAGCCTGATTTTGACTGACTCAAAATTCGAATTTCTGTACCAAATTTTAGGTGGTTGTTCTCAGAAATATATACACTTCGAAAATACAATTAAAAAAATATGTATTTCAAAGAATTGAGCCGGTAATTGCCCCTAAAGAATTATAATGCAACAGTATAGCGAAAATTGTCGTTTTTTGTATACTTTTCAGTGCGTATAAAGCGTTTTAAGCCCTACTGTACGGTAAAATGCCTCGTATTTATATCTAATATAATACTAGTATAATACTTGTTATATAAGTATTTTTTCCCTTATTATTGCATACATTTTTTCTATAGCACTGCATGTCTTAAGTTCAAATTTATGGCACGCTTTTCGATGGTACACGTCGCACATTCTGGCACTGCGTCGCGTCTATCACATTCGTTACGCTCGTGCGCTAAACTCGCTGTACGGTACCAGAATGTGTGAGTTATAACTTGGAAAAGGGGGCATAAATGTGAACTTATGGAACTTGTATCGTAAAGTACTATTTCAGGAATCATAAAAGGATGCAGGAATTTGGAAAAATATTTTCATTCTTATGGATCATTAATTCGTTTTGGAGTCTATCGTAAAGCTCATCCTAGGAGGAAGCAACCTTGATAGTCTAAGAAAATGAAATTGGAACAAATTATGTACTCTTAAAGAGTACATTGAAAAATGGAAATCCGGAAATGTTTAGCCTTCTAAGTCAATTTCTCATGGATCTAAAGAGGCTCCAAGTTGAAAATTCATTTTTAAAATTTTATTCTGCTTTTCTAGCGTAAATATGAAAAATTGTTGGAACATGATTTTTTATATAAAATTTAATGAAGAATTCAGATTTATTATAAAAAATCATATTTATAACCTAAAAACGCATTTAAAATCAAAAATAGCATAAAAGTCGAAAAATAAAGGTGTTTGTATCCATCAATTAAGCCAGAAATGAAGCATGTTCATCGATATATCAACATACAACTGTTGAGGGTGATGATTGAAACAATACAATTTATTTGAGAGCATCATAAGGATAAAAAAACATGGTTTTTCTCTCATTTTCATGATTTTCCCATCCCAACACTTGGATATTAATCTTGAACTATACCAGTTATTAGATTAATATTCATCTAGAAAACTTATCGTACCCTAAAATCCTTGCAATAACTTTAGTTTATAAAAGAGCCTAAATTTTTAGTCTTTATATATTGGTCAAAATATATCAAATGTTTAGTAGTGATTAAATAAGATTTCAATTGAAGCTTTCATAAAAATAAACTTTTAGAATTAATTTTATTAATTTAGTGCACTAATTACTACAACAAATATCTACAAAAATTAATTTAAAACTAATTTTAGTAGCTTTATTCAAAGGCGAATAAATTTTACACAGCATGATACCATATAAATAGCTTTCAAAAGAAATTTAGCTTGAAATATTTCCATTTCACTGTACGAATATGAGTTTGTATCATTAGTTTAATCATTTTTTGAAGATAAAATAAGTTTATAAATATTTATTAACATGCATCATCACTTATATAGCCATGGGAAAGTTACTACTTTGGAAAAGCTGAAATTATTTTAAATATAATATTATAAGCATAGTGGTATATCAATATCAGAAATGAAGCTATTGCTTTATCAATGTGTTTAGATAATTGGATTGTTATTTGTAGTACATATGCCGATTTTTATATAATAAAATTAAAAAAATTTATTTTGTTTAAAAAAAAATAAAGAAAAACGGAGTGATTTATAAAATTGATATTGTTATGAAGATGTACCTTAAACAACAATGTTAACTAAGAAAAATAAAAATTACATGTATCATTATTTTTTCTTCAAAAATATTGTAAAATCTTGGATAAGAATTAGTTAAAATAAAGGAATTATACATTGCATTGAAGATTATCATTTTATTGAGCAAAATTGGTTTAGTTTACTAAAAACTTAAGAATGAACTGACATAATTTAAAGTGGATCAGCAATTCACACATTTTTTCAATATTCTAAGTCAATACTTAAACATGATCATGATAATAAAAGCACTATATCATTTATAACTAGTTTTTACTTTTATTCTAAACATGCATGTTGCTGGAGAATTCCAAAAAGTACTTTTATGATAGAGGGTTTAAAAAAAGTCTAAATTTTGAGATTGTATCAGTTATTGGTTAATTCAAATTTTAATCCTATGAAACAATTCATAACAATTCATAAACATTATATCTATTGCATTGTAAGCTTTAACTTTTAAGTAGTACAATAATGCAAATTAATGCTATTATTGGTTACAGTAATGATTTATTTTTAGAAATTTGATAAGATTAAATGGTGAAATGGTATAAATAAAAACAAAAAGAACATGGTAACGATGAGTGTAATTTTTCATACAAACCCATATTTGTTACATGAAAATATTAGAAGTAGAATTAGAATTGGATTATCTTATGTTTATTTTAGAAATTGTCAACTAGTGCGACTGAAGAATACAATGAAAATAGTAATTTCAAAAAGTTAATGTTTACCATAAATGTTTTAGTTTAATTTTAATAAAGTAAAATCAAATAACCAATTCAATCGAGTCAAACAGATGAAATATTTTATTTGATCAACACTTCAATGATTATTTTTTACATCATCTACAAAAACTAGTTTGTGCATATATTTTTCAAATCTTGAAAAAGTAAAAATGTTAGTAACGTGTTGGTCCAAAACCTCATTAATGTCCAAATTTTAATAACATATTTCAACACTTCACAAAACTGAAACTATTGTATTAGACAGGTGATAATTTTTTTTGCAAATGTAAGTTTATAGTATTAAAAGAATAGAAGTCACTTAAACTTCCAAACTAAGTGTAATTTTTGCTGTTTATAAGGTGGAATGATGTTTTACATACAAATAATGACTTGTATCCATGATTGATAGTTGGACAAAAATATTTTTCTACTAGTTGCTTCTTTTACAACAAATCGCACAGATATTAGTTATTCTGAAATAATATGAGTGCAGTGACATGTGGCCATGTTGGATTGCGGAGATACTATTTCTTCTTTTCCTTACTTATGCATGATTTCTCAATCATGTCACAATACTCTCACGTACGTTCGCACACAATCAAACGTCCATGTGAACTTATATTATATATATACAACATAGTATATTTTACATCATACAGTATAGGTAGTGATACATACCGAAAATTCAGCCATTTCACTAGACACTAGACGACACGGGGAGTAGTCGCCAACGTTGTCTTCAACTGCGCGATGTGCATTATACAAAAACATTTGTTTATTTTCTCCAAAATGAAAGCACACACTCAGATTGACAGTTATATTTCTTCAAACACTAAAATATCTTAAAAATTCAGCTCGCTGGCCTTAATTGACTTTTTTTATCTAATATATATCTTATATATATAGTTATCACATATTGTATATGCGATAAAGTTGTTTTCCTTCTTGTCGATGTTTTGTTTATGATTCTAGTGATTTTTGACATAGTTAATAATATGCTTTTAATTTATGTTGATTCCAAAGGGTGTTTCATTCGCAACCGTTTTCTAAAATGCAGGAGCCACATTACATTCAATAATAATAATTTTAATTCAAAAACTATATTAAAATTTTAAGTAAATAAATATGTTTAAAAGTTTAAAAATATGTTTCGGTTATAATGAAGTCATTACAACCCCAGTTTAAAAAATACATGAATTATTCACGCAGATTATGTTTGGATTCTGCGGAAAATGCGTGGATTTCGCTTGAAAAGTACATATATTCCATGTGGAATTAGCGTGGATCATCTACATGAAAATACGAACGATTTTTTCGACTGAAAATACTGTCCTACATTTCAAAATTTAAATATTATTACAGACGTATGTAAAAAAATTTAATTGAAAAATATCAAAACCAGCGATAAAAATCCTTTTGAATTTATTGGTATAAATTTTCATAACGATTTTTATTATTTTTTTGTAATAGAAACACTGCAAATCTCAAGTAGTCAAAAAAAATTGAAATAATCTATTTAATAGAAAATAGTAAAAATTGAAAGATCTAATTAGAATTGATGATTTATTATTCGATGATAATTTACTAGAGATTGTATGATATGGTATGTACAAGTTGGTTTTAACCATAACATGCATACATCTAGTTTTGCATTTTTACGAAGATAAGCATTATCAAAAGAACAAGTTAATTTATGTTAGTACAATATTTAACTAATAAAAATATGTAGACTCGTAAGATCATATTGAAATATTTATCAACGGTACAGTACATGATTAAAGTTGTGGTAACACAATAAAATTCTCATCGAATACGTTCAATCAGGAATAGAGCCTTCGCCAATGATGGCATAATGCAGCACCGTTTGACTGTCGAATGTCGACGAGCTATGCACATGCCCGCATTTATATTTCCGTGTCTGAGCCATAACGCATCAAGTTCTCAGTGCTCACGCTCGCTGACCGCTGTGTATAGTGTATATACTGTTTGTGTCGTTCGTCTCGCTTCATTCCTCGTGCGGTAGTCTTTAGTTGTAGCAATCAAGCATTAAAGATAACCTTATTTTGTTTTGACTCAGTTTTAACCAAGTAATCGAGCAATTTTACTTGAATTATTCATAATTATACATCAAATCCGATAATAAATATATTTCATTAATATGGCGCACTTGAACACCGAACCTACTGAAGAAGATGCCGCTGATTTGCAATTTCCCAAAGGTAATTAATTGATATTGCTAAATGTACTGTAGTTCTTAAATTTTGGAAAAGCTACATTAACACATGAATTGTCTGATTTATTATCATAGTATTGAAACAAACTAATACCTTATAAATTACAAAAAATAGGGGCTCAATTCAGAACCAAGTAAACCTATCATTCTAATTAAAGAGATGTAGCTTTTACATAGATTCAACAATAATTTATTCAGTTTTTCATTTATTTCAAAATTTTTTCAATTAAACTTTGATATAACAAAATACAACTTATCAATAGCATTAAAGCTTTAATGCGCAGACATATATCCCTGGTCTAAATATATAGTGATGACCGATATTGTATTTATGCCAATGAAACTTATCAAATTAGTTAACTTCATAAAAACTACTTATTTTTTTGAAAATTTTAATTTCAATGAACATCAAAAAATAATAAAAGTAAAAATGTGATACTTAGTAGAATATTTTGAAAGTTTTATGAATTGTTTCTATTCATATTACATAGTAAATTAGCAACTGACACAAAATTTGTATGTTGAAATTCATATAATATGTTAAATATTTATATTTTGTGCAAGATATTCTCTAAACTATAATATTAAATTACTTCTTCCAATAATTTTATTGTTATAAAAATATTCTTATTAGTCTAGGAACATTTGATTATTTTAATATATTATATATTATAAAAATTCTAAAAATTTGTCTTTACTTAAATTAAATATGAGTTTAAAAGGTTTTAGTCTTATTTACAATTGTCTGCATCAGTAAATACGAAAGATTTAGTGACATAATTTTTGTTCTACAAATGAGAAAATATCTTACTTGATCAAGTAATATAAATTTCGATTTGGAAATAATATTCCCTTTTAATCAACACCCAAAAATAATCATCCTTAAATTATGTCTGCAACCATTCATATGAAAAATTTGTTAATTTTTATTTTAAAACAGAAAAAAGTCACAAGTAAATAAATAAAATAAAATATAGATTTGAAGATTGATAATCAGATTAAGGAAATTGATTCTATAACTATGACAATATTGTCATTACATTCAGTATTTACTCAATTATTTGATTCACTATAGTAGGCAACAGTATTCGTCATTTTAGAAAACCTTTTTGCAATCTTTATCTGTATATTTATTTTAAAATCAGAACTATACTATTATTTTTATTGATCATAAAATAATCTGAACAATTGTCATAAATGATTAGAATATGAAGAATAATATTACCAGCAAAATATTTCAGATTGGATTAATTTTTTACGCTTTCATCATTAACATATGCTAATGGCCTTATAAATAACATTTTTTAGCTCGATACATTGACTGACAAGTACTAAGTTATTAATCCAAAGTTCATTCTTAAAAGATTTACTCAGAGTTTTTTTATCTGAAATTATGATTTATTACCAATGCTCCCGCTTTTGAAAAATTGTTTGCGAAAAAAATTTTTTACTTCTCCAAATACTGCCTTTCGAACTACTAATATTTTATCGAAGTTCACCATACCCAAGTAATGTACCTGAAAGAGTTCGCTTTGATTATTATGAAAATTTAAGCGTATAAAAAAAACATAAAACATCAGAAAACGTAAAAAGAGGAAAAAATTAATACATAAAGTATACTGCAACTGTATTGCAGTCAAGAACCAACATTTTTCATTTTTAAAAAATAAATTATAAACAGAAGAAGATTAAAATCAGAAATAAAATTTTTAAGGTTTTCAACTATAATTTAAGTATATGAATCTCAAAAAGAATATCATTATTTCAGACCTCAGCAATGTTGATCAGAGCATTGTAAGACACCAGATAGTAACTACCAAATTAGAGGATTCAGTCGCAGAAAATAAGTGTTTTATCTGCGATCAAATACTCTGCGAACCATATATACGTTGTGCAGTTTGTGAAATCATATTTTTGTGTAAAACTTGTTTCTGCAGTGGACGAGAAAAACTTTGTCATACGAATAATCATGATTATGTTATAATTAAAAATAACTTTTCATTGTTCCAAAACTCAAATTGGAATGCAAAAGAAGAGATTAAGTTTTTAAATTTATTATTAAAATTTGGTTACGGTAATTGGACAGATATATCTCTTGGATTATTAAATAAGACTCCAGAAGAATGTGAAAAACATTATTTAAAGTATTACCTTACCAATTCATGTGTTGCACAGCTACCAAAATTCAATAGTTTTGTTTACTCTTATGCAGAAGTGTGTACTTATTCGTCTAACCACAAAAACACGATTGATCCACCAAGATATACTGAAACAGAAACTAACTATAAATTGATCGCTGGATATAATCCTGTCAGATCAGATTTTGAAATAAATTTTGATAATCATGCAGAAATGATACTTAACAATTTGTCCGCAAGAAATAATCTTACTAATGATAAATGTTTGAATGAACGTATACATCTTGCCATGATTGAAATTTATAACAGAAGATTAAAAAGTAGAAAAAAAAGAGAGCGAATTATTAGAAATCATGGATTAATCTCAATAAAGAAAAAAAATATGTGTTTTGATCGATATAGTTCTTTTATAGACAAGCAACTAGTCAAAAGACTTCATATTTTCTCTCAGTTCTTCAATGGCATAAATTACGATTCGTTAATGGAAACTTTTTATCGCATCGGTGAATTGAAACAAAAAATGCATACTTTATTTAAATATAGATCAATTGGAGTAAAAAGTTTAGATGAAATATATGTTTACACTGAAGTATCAAAGATTAAAAATTCTTCGTCAAAAATATTGAGCCAGTATACTAATGCATCAGAATTGAAAAACGTTCAGAAATTTTCGTTAACTTCCGTACCAAAAAAACGTCAAACTCAACAGCCTATAAACTTATATCCCAATATGCCTGGATATGAAAAATTGTCAGAAAAAGAAAAAGAACTCTGTGCAATTTTAAGACTTGTACCGAAATCATTCATAGATCACAAGCATTTGCTTATAACTGAATATAATAAGTTTGGAAAAGTTACGTTATCTCAAGCTAGGCATCTGTTAAAAATTGATGTCAATAAAACCAAAAAAATTTTTGAATATTTTTCCAAAGAAGGTTGGATAAATAGATTGTAGTCAAGGGTTTTTATTCCGGATTATTAATGTTTGGTTATTCAAAAATAAATTATTTTATTCCAATTTATTGATGTATTTATTCAATTTATTCTTATATAATATAAAAAGCTCGGATTTTGTTAAAAAATCATGTATCAGTGGTGCTTATGTATGTACACGCTTATGGTATGTGAAAGGACGTATAGAAAGGGTCCGATCATAACATCAACATCCCTGATACGTGCCGCACTCCGTAAAGATGTCCGTTTTCTTTAAACTGACTAGACGTTTAAAACGCGCTCCGCGCGTGTCAATTTTTTATTTGTGTTTTGAGGTTAGTTTAAGATTCACAAATAGTAAGTTTCAAACGCGCTTCGCGCGCGTCAATTGTTTCGTTCTTACATTGAGATGAGGTTACTTAAGTACTAACTGTCTGTTGACAGCTAGCAGCGCAGGTGCTCGTAACGAGTCGCGTGTCAGCCAATCAGAGGTCGTTTTACGCGGCTTCACTTGGAGGTCTATCTCTTTTTTATAAGTAAAAAAATAAAAAAAACATTATAAGTGGAAACATTACAAGTAGATTAATTATAAGTAGATTCTGAAGCCATTTGTGAAAAAATTCACGGGCTACCATTTAACATTTATTTAAAATTTTAAAACTTTATCCCTGGTACTGCAACTCGAAACGCAACTTGAAAATTTTCTGAAAACTCTTTTTTCTAAAACTAGAATAATACTTGTTTAGTATTTAATTATTTTCATCATAATATTCTTTTAACATAGGACCAAGACATGTTTTTGCCACTTGATTTTATTAGAGCGGTTTTTGCGCTGGGGTGATGATATATTGTTGTTCATTTTTAGTTATCGTGGTTTTAAAAATTCTTATTTTCTACATCGGAAAAGAAGGCCTTGAAGCACGTCGGCAATAAGTATAAGAAGCAAATGTGCAATTAAACAATTATTTTGGAATCCAAAGAGCAGGTGCGAATATTCCATGAAGAGGAATTGATGCACCTAACATTCGACGCATTGAAGAAAATAAAAGTTTGTGTAATTATTCAGGCGCTTATTTTTTGACAGTGCAAGGTTGTACCTTAAATCTAGCAGGTGTACGGTATTCGCGAATACCGTAACACAGGTATTATTTTAAACTAGAAAAAAATAATTTTTTTACTAAAAAGCGAACACGTAACTGATTCACACGATAAAAAGTTAGGATTAATAGTATATTTCTCAATGGGTGCAGCTATGGTTTTTTAGCAAAACGAGGGATTACAGTACGAGCCGAAGGCGAGTACTGTAACGAGTTTTGGTAAAAAACCATACCTGCACTAGTTGATGATACTATTTTTTCCTGCGAGAGCCTAAAATTAGCGGCAAAGTTGCGCATTTTAGGTTACAGTGGGAAAAAGTACGTTTTTGCCTCTGATTTTAAAACGTAACCTTTCAGCGCTAGGGATACAAAATAATGTAGTGTTTCGGTATACTACTGCTCAAAGACTAAACTTGATTTAATCCTGGTTTTTGTTGCCTTAAATGATTTCAGGTTTACCTTTATATAAATCGAACTTGAACTCTGAATTATTTAAATCATTTTTAAGCCAAGAAACTAATCTTTTCATGCTTTGCGTGCCTAGGAAGCGAAAAACTGGAAAGGCTCAGAGCATGTGTAATTATCGCCCGAAGTGAAACCGAAGCTGTTAAAAATGGGCTCCGAGGCTTTCTTTTTTCACTTCATAGGTGCGTATTAAGAAGTAATGTAAGCCTAACCGAGAATCCAATGCTTTTAGTATGGGAGTTATTCGGTTAAGACGGCCATTTTTACCCCCACCTTGGCTTAAAATACTCCCCAATACTATTGTTCATGATTCCCCCAGCAGAAATTAACTTTTTCGTTTTGGCCACCGGGGCGAAATAAGTTAGTTTTTGCTGGGGTAACATGAAAAAGTTAACTTCTGCTAGGAGATTAATGAAAAATATATGGACCTACGAAGCGAAACAAGAAAACCTCAGAGCACTTAATCTACTATTTTTCATTCACATTCTTAATTTTAATCGGTTTTCTACGGCAAAGTTCATATATATTGTAAACGAATTATCAGCTGCTTTAAACATTTTGATATTTTATGATGCGATGATTAAAATACTTATGTAAATACTTTTTCAGAATTTGAAAATGCTGATACATTGCTTATATCAGAAGTTCACATGCTTTTGGAACATCGCAAAGCTCAAAATGAATCAGCTGAAGAAGAACAAGAATTTTCGGAAGTATTTATGAAAAGTTTAACTTACACAAATCGATTTCGAAAATTTAAAAATAAAGAAACGATAGCCGCTGTAAGAAAGTAAGTTCACAGTTTTACTTTAAAATATGATCATCAATCACTCTAATAGAATAATATCAGTATATTATCATTCAATCTCAATTCGTTTTTTAAACAAAAATACTTCAAAATATTCTTATTTTATATCGCCGATGCTTATGAGTAAAAACACACATCATCGAAGTGCCGTGAAAAAAAAACACCACATCGTATCCAAAGAGGTGTGTTTTTTTCCACGGCATCCAAAGAGGTGTGTCTTTTTTTACGGCATTTTATCATTATGTTTTTTTTCGTAGCGTTTTTCACTGCGTTTTTACTCATAAGCAACGGCGATATGAAGTTTTTTTGGAGAGCATTTTGTTATATATTGTATCAGTATCTCAAAGGATTTATCTTTACTGGAGTAGTGTATTTACTTTACAATTTAAATGTGTTTTCTACTGAATAAAAAGGTTATTATTACCACTAATAAAGTAGACTTTGTGACGGTGAACTCCCCGTGCTCACCGCCTGCGCGGGCTTCACAAGTCCTGGCCGGCTTTGTCGATTAACGACGCGCCAGACGAGCGGATGCTCGTCGCCGACTACAGTCCGGTTAGCTACAAGGGATAGAAATTAGGGCACGATATTACCTCGAGGTCGTACAGGCACGGCTTCCCTCCGAGAGGAGACGCCGACGGGTAGGGAGCGGGGACTCCGTTGGCTGCAACACTGCACCTGAAAACGTACCTGAAAACGAGAAAGTCCGCGAGAGAGAGAGAGGAAAAGAATATGAAAGGTTGTTCGAATAATTTAAGTTAACAATCATACAAAGCTTTATTTAATCTACTCTGAACTGATCATTCACTCGGAGCCGAAGCTCACACACTCACACTCACACTTGGTTGCGTATGCGAGCTGCGTTGCCGTTTGAGGGTCGGCGCGAGGCACGATAAGACAATCAAACTACTCACGTTGCTCCTTGCTCACGAGGTTCGCGACCACACGGGTAGACTCCGCGTCGCCGGGGTCTCACAAACTCAAGCTGCTCTCCTCGCAATTGTCTGTTGGCTACAGAAGTGAAAAGGGACGGGCTGGGGTGGTCGAAACGGTGTTGCGTTGATGAGGCTTGGTGCGCCACGTAAATCGCCAGCACGCACACTCGATAACGGTGGCCACCAGATTTACCCGCACGCGAGAATACTACTCTCCACCAGATTACTCCAATGCACCCGAACACTCGTACACTACTCTCTACACCAAAACTCGCTCTCTACACACAACTCTCTACACACAGTACAACAAATCAACCGTAACGTTCGCGTATATAGAGCTCTGCTCGAGACAAAGGTCCAACTACAAGTCTCTTCTTCACTCTCTCACTGCTCCGACTCTACTCTCTCGTCATCTGCACACGTGCATGCGACGATCTCCGCTTCGAATTCGCAACGTGTAATCGGGCACGGGCCGCTCGCGCAGTCACGTGGTACTGTACTCGCGTGAGGCCACAGTGGTACCGGTTACAATGGTCGCAACTCATTCACATCTTCACGCGAAACCCTCAAATCAGACGTGTCTATGACGAGTCGCTTACGTGGCTCGACGTTCGCCTATAGCACAACGTCACAACTTGTTAAAAATAATTTTTCTTTAGACGCTCATTCGATATTTCTAACGTAAATAGATCGTTTTTATTTATTCATATTTAATAATTTAAATTATATTATTTTAGTTTGCTGAGTCAAAAGAAGCTTCACAAATTCGAATTAGCATCTTTAGCAAATCTTTGTCCTGAAACACCAGAGGAAGCAAAAGCTCTGATACCAAGTTTAGAAGGAAGAATAGAGGACGAAGAGTTACGAACGATCCTGGATGACATACAGACTAAAAGATCTTTGCAGTATTAAAAAAATTAGTTTTAAATTCTTTTGTCGGAAAATATATAAGTGAAATAAAATGTTGGTGTAAGCTTTAAACAGTTTTTTGTATTAATTTGAAAAAATGCCTTATACTTAGAAACTTAATTCTGAACGAACTACTTCACAGATAAATTTAAGTTCAATTTTCGTCTCAGAACTGGTAACACGTAATAATTTTCCTATGTCTGTAATGTTTTGCACAAAAGGATTTTTCATAACATTGAATCGATTTTAAAGGCTATTTTTACATGAAGGTTTTTTAGAACATTTTGAAATTCTTGAATTTAAAATTTCCTCTCACTTTACAGACTACAGATTGAGTTTTATGAGTTGAATACCAAGTTTTTAAAATTATAAAACAACCATATAACCCTTTAAACGTGAACTTTTGCTTATCTTTTCTATAATATGTTGATTTGCAACAAATCGCCACTAACCCGAGTAATCGATGAACACATCGTGTGAAATAAAAATCGTTGACAATAAATCAACTTAAACAGAAGATTGTCACGTAAAACTTACTAAATTAGCTGAAACGTATTGTACAAGACTTAAATTACTAAAAACTTGGATTTCTAGTCACTATAAACCGCTAAAGCGTATAAAACAGCTAAATCATGCAGCTAAATTCATTACTCTCTGTACGAACTTAGTATTTCACCCAGAAAAAAAATTGACAAGTGATTTCGATGTATGTTTCACTCGGTTTTCTAATGTTGAGGTCCAAAAGGCGAAGTCAACCTCCATAGCCTCAAAAAATGGACTTGAAGGTATAACACGCCTTATCTTTTTTGCCTTTAAGTTTAAATCTTTCGTAAAGGTCTAGATTGAAAGATCTCGCGATTTCTCGTGAGAAAAAACAATGCTAAAAAAACTTTTTCGATATTGGCCAGTGGTAATGAGAAAAAGAGCATGTGGTCGGCCGTTTTCGAGCGACGTAGCGCACTGCTATTGGTTGCGCTACTCTACTATGTATCTTTTTTGTTCATGTATTCAATTTAAGCTACAAAATTAAACCAATTTTGTTCAGTTGCTGTCTAAGCATTATGGGTCAATGTTCGTGGTATTATTTTAGTATGAAAAAATTTATCTTTTCGGTTTGGAACAAAGATTAATTGAAGACGCACCAGCTTAAAGAGTCGCCGTAGCTTTAATCGAGGGGGTACGATACTTATCTTTGGAAACCCGTAAAGCCGTTCCCGAAGTTAAAGTTAAGATTAATGTAATTATTGTACCCTGGTAGAAATGCAACATTTTTTGACCGATAGTGTAACGCTTTTTCTCATATAAAATAGCCATTTAATGGCCATTCATGGCAAATGACCATTAAATGGCCATTTTATATGAGAAAAAGCGTTACATTAAATGGCCATTCATGGCAAATGACCATTAAATGGCCATTTTATATGAGAAAAAGCGTTACACTATCGGTAAAAAAATGTTGCATTTCTACCAGGGTAAAATCTAGCTGCATTATGACTGCTGCGTGTATGAAATCTTGAGCCAAAATTAAATTTATTATCGACATGAATATTAGGCAGATTAGTCATGTTTGAGGGGAGGGGAGGGGGGTATGACACTGTGAACCAGTGCAAAACACACGAGTATATTTTAAGCCATAGTGGTACGTAATGATATGTGAAATCTATTTCTGAAGTTTTTTGGGTTGTGAGCGTATATTTTAGCAACTATGAAAAAACGCCACATAACTAACTTTGGCCCTTTCATTTGAGAAAATCATAATCATAAGTTTTACTTTGTAAAAAGGTCGTAGTAAATATGAGCAGATTAATACTTTTTACTTTTTTTATTAACATATTCATATTAACAAACTTTATCAACTTTACATAAATTTGATTGCAAATGTTCTTTTTTGCAATTAATCAAAGTGTCATCTTTTAGTTGTAAGAACAAAAATGACTGTTGTGATAGATCAAAAATGTTTCTGAACATTACGCTTCAAATTTTTTTCAGCAAATCGGGGCAAGATAAAACAAGATTCATGAATTTTGGAACTATAATAAGATAAATTCAAGTTATCTAATTCATTTTCTGAAAAAATTTTCCGTGGCTGCTTGAAATCGATACACTGCAAAACATATGGAGTTTGAAAAAAATATTAACAGTACGTAAAAAAATAAATAATATTTTAACGTTTTTAAGGGGGGGTATAGTATTTTTCGCAAAAATTTTCGATACTTTTTTTATTGTCTTATTCGATTCTATATACATTCAAGAGTATTCAGTTAAAATTTTAAGCCAATCGGAGCAAAATTAACCAAGATATGGCCATTTTAACGCACGTGCAAAAAGGAAGAAGGACTGGACCTCAAAATCTTTAAACGCGTTTTCTGAACAATAGCATTTTCAAAGACGGTGTACATCATATTTCAAAAACTTATTGACCGATCTTTTTGAAATTTTACACCGTTATTTATTAACTATTTTACTAGGTAGTGACGTCGAGATATTTTCATTTTTGCGAAAATTTTCATTTTTTTTCAACAATTTTCCGAAAAAAAAGTGCACTTTTTTGTTTTATCCCCATTATTTCAACTTCAAAGTCACGCCAAATTTTCAAAAATGAAAATATTTTAAAAAACTCGACGTCAATACCTTCAGAATCCTCTAAACTAATAAAAAATGTCATTAGGCTCGTTTCTGATGATTCTGCGAGGAGTTGTCGTGTACACCGCATTTTTCAACGTGTTTTCTTCAAACCGATGCCCCAGGCTCATTTTTCAATATTTTTCAACAAAAATTTAGCTGAGTACTCTTGAAGTGATGCTTTTTAGTGTACAAATCGATATTACTACATTTTCATTACTAGATTTCAAAAAATTAATCTCAAAAATGAGCAAAAATAACTAAAAANCCCCCCCCCCCCCTTAAAGAAACCTGTGGTAAGGTACATTTAGACAATCATATAAACTTAGATTTTTCAGAATCTTTGGACTCTTACGCTGTCTGAAAAATTAAAATGATCAATGATTTATTCTTTTAAAAAATTATTCAAATAACAGACTGATTTTTATTTCATTTATTTTTAACTTAACTTAAACTAAAATAGCATTTTTAGTTCCTATAGCAGAAAAATCCATATTTGCATTGAGATTGAATATATTTTTTTAAAAATAAAGAAAAAATATTTTGGTGAGGAATGTTGAGTGGTTTCTTTGTGATCATTGATCATTTCAATATATTTTTTTAAAAGCTTTGACAAATTTGTCAAAAGTATAAGTTTTTTATGATTGTCAAAATGTATTTGAACAAAAACGAGCTTAATAAAGAAAATATGTGACTCCTTTTTATTTAAGGGCTCAAGCTATGTCTCTTATGATGATTTAAAATGTTATACATTTGATACTTGAATTTATTTTAAATTTGGAAACCCATCGCGCTAATTTACTTAAATGTATTTTTAATCTGACTTGTATATATCTTATTATACAAGTCAGATTATTATATTATACGGATTATATCACAAAAGAGTTAATAGTTCAAAAAATAAAATTAGAACAAAATATGTACTCTCGAAGAGTACATTGAAAAATGAAAATCCTGAAAATTTCAGCCATCTGGGTCTATCCCTCGTGGATCTTCGGGGTCTCAAAGTTGGAATTTGATGTTTCAAATTTTATTTTGATTTCCAGGGACGAATATAAAAATATAGTTGAAACATGATTTTTGATCTAAAATTTGATAAGGAATTCAGATTTATTATCAAAAATCATTTTTGTAAACTTCTGCTTCATTAAAAGGAAGGAGAAAAGCATAAAAGTCAAAAAATAAATATGTTCGTCTCCAGCGATAAGGCTAATATCGTAATATTTTTATTGATACTTCAAAATACAACTTGTGATAAACTTTGGTCATCCGATAAAATCGGAGTTAATCCATTACTTACAACTATTTGAAATCTCAGGGTTTTTGTGCAAATATCGCGTCCTCCATATCTGAACTACAATTTAGTGAGGTTCCGATTGGAAAAAATTAATATTTAAACACACAAAATGAATGAAAACGTATACAATTTTTACTCAAAAACAAAGGGCTTCAGAAAAAAGTAAATTTTCAAACTTTATTTCCTCCAATCTAAATTCCACTAACTTTTACTTTTCATGAGATTTCCAATGGTTTCTATTTAGAAAATCGAAAAATAAAAAAAATTTTTTCAAAATCACGTTTTTTGGGATAAAGTAGTTTAACTTTTGACCTGATCATTTTTTCGAAAATCGCAGGGCATTAAATTTTACATTAGAATTGGATACTCGTATATTTTTTTGACCCCGTCTTCACCAAAAATACAGTGACCAAATAAAATGTTGAAAAATCATCCTCTTGGGACTTTTAATGGATTAACTCCGATTTTAAAGCGATGACCAAAGTTTATCATAAGTTGTATTTTGAAGTATCAATAAACATATTACGATATTAGCCTTATTGCTGATGACGAACATATTTATTTTTTGACTTTTATGCTTTTTTCACCTTTTAATGAAGCAGAAGTTTATAAATATGATTTTTGATAACGAATCGGAATTTCTTATCAAATTTTAGATCAAAAATCATGTTTCAACTATATTTTCATATTCGTCCCCGGAAATCAAAATAAAATTTGAAACATCAAATTCCAACTTTGAGACCCCGAAGATCCACGAGGGATGGACCTAGAGGGCTGTAATTTTCAGGATTTTCATTTTTCAATGTACTCTTCGAGAGTACATACTTTGTTTCAATTTTATTTTTTGAACTATCAACTTTGTATGATATGACCTATAAATACATTTTTTAAAATCAATCTTCAACTTACATCGTCAATGCTACCTAAAAGGAACCCAATTTGTCCAGTAGGATATGTTGGAACGGATGAAATACCATAATTCACCTTAGGAAACACTGACTGACAAGCTGTGAAATGTTTTTCGACTTGCTCCATGTTAGTCCATATAGTGCCAGCTTGACAACATATCACTCCATTCGTCCTTAAGGAACATTTCAATAATTCAAAATATTCTTTTTCAAAGAGCAATTTTGCAGGTCCTTAAAAAAAATCTTTTATGTAATGAAAATTGTTTAAGCATGAGTTTAGCATCTATTACAAAATTGGAAATAAGAATATACAAAAAAATATTAACTTAATAAAGAAATTAAAAAATGATATATTATTTGAAAAGCTGATTACGCGTTGTTATAAATTAGTCAAATAGACATAAAAACTTAAAGAAAGTTTGAAACCATATTACAATCAAAAATAGATTCCGTTATGTTTCGACCTTGAAAAAGATTTTGTAGAATCACATTACCACTTGAAAGAGGAAGAAAGAAATCCATCCAATCATGTCATTAAGTTTATTTTGACGTCTATTGAGCGACTCCAAGCGAGCTAAAGGTTGACCACTTTGGTCGGAAAATGACGTTTTTCAATGAATGACTCCATATATAGAGAAAAAATTCGACCTTGTAAGGGGCTTTTTGGTCGATTAGGTGTAAAATGAACATATTTTAATACCAGTAATTTTTTTTGATTAATTATACCCATTTTAATATTTCATATCGAAACAGCACCCTTATAAAAATATCCTCTAGGGTCCCGCAAAATTCCTACAGGAGTCCTATAGGATTCCAGTAGGAATTTCGTGGGATCCTAGAGGATATTTTTATAAAAGCAGTTATGACTCTTAATGATTTGCGGGTCTAATGGATATTAAAAGAAGACAACTTTTGAGTTTACAAGAAGTCTAACTTTACCAAACACTTAATTATATGCAATTTACAATTTTAATCCAAACTTACTTTCTAACTTTCAAATCGACCATAATTTTAAATTTCGTGTAAAAAAAATGACTTACCTACGGGATCGCTACTGTCTGTTATAATTACATCAAACTTATCATTTTGATTTTTCAAATATTTAAATCCGTCTTCAATAATAAGTTCATGTCGATTGCTTTCATACCCCTTAGCCATATGTGGCAGAAATTTTTTTGATACTTCAACTACTTTTGCATCAATCTCAACTTGGACAATTTTCTCAACTGTTGGATATTTGGCTACTTCTCTAGCAACTCCTCCATCACCTCCACCGATAATAAGTACCTACAACATAGCATATTTATATAAAAATTTTAAAATGGTATTCTTAAGATCGATTAAAAGGGACAAGATTTAAGGAGTTGTCAAAGCCCCGATTTTGACCGACCGAGCATTAAAAGTGTACATTTAAATAACTTTTTCACTAGACCGATTTTCGAAAAACGGCTCTGTGGAGCCCTCCGTATTGATGCTGTGAACAACTGTACCAAATTTCATCCCATTTCATGCAACAGTTTTTCCGGAAAACGGGATCGAAATGTTTAATTTAGGTTTTCAGGTTTAAAAATTCTAACCGACCGTGCCATAATGGCCTGCTTAAGTCACACGTATCATAATATACTATTCCGAAATTATATAACATCATTAATTCTGTTGATAGTCTAAGATGTTAACATTGGACCAATCCATGTCGTATCCTTGATTTTCTTCAATCTGAGATGCCACAACTGACTTCGAACCGTCTGCATTTTTATGTTCACCCATGCGGATTTTGAGCTTTGTTTTTATTTGTCAAATGTAATTTTCAGAGAAGTCTGTGTATTTCAGATGGTGCATTGCTCCCATTTGTTCATACTTATCAATCATGTCTTTCTGGTTTTAAATTTTTCAGTCTGAGGTCTTTTGAAAAGGTATCTGTGTAAAGCTGCTGGATAATCATTTTCTCTCAAACAACCATTGACATCGTTGTCTTTTTCGAAAGTCAATCATTGTCTCTTTTGGTACCGCTATTATTGACGTTTTTATTCTCATTATATGGATGATTCTCCCGATTCATTAATATTACGTGTCCTAGTGACGTAGGGGCTTAAGACGATGCCTAAACCACAATTTTTACCGACCGAGCACATAAAATGTATATTTTCCTAACTTTTTTTCCAGGCCGATTTTCGAAAAACGGCTCTGTGGAGCCCTCCGTATTGTTGCTGTGAACAACTGTACCAAATTCCATTAAATCCAATCCATTAAACTCTGCATATACGGCACACAAAACAACGATTTGTCCGCTCCGTTGCTGTCCGTTCCGTTAGCAGTACTCGGTTTCAGCACAGGCAACTTCCATGTTAAAAATGAATTTCATATCCTAGCTCTATAAACTTTAAAACAAATACTTTTCAGGTAAGAAACGAAGTTCCGTTCTTAAAAAAAGGTTTGGAGACAATTTTTTTTGCTCACTTTTCTGATTCGAAATATCGATGAATCGGGAGAATCAACTATACATGGATGATTTTCTTACATCTTGCCTTTTTTTATCACCCTTAAGCATACGGTAACCTTATTTCTAGCTATATATAGACTCGATTAGTGCTAAATACTTATTTTTTAATACTGGTACGAGTTGAAAAATGAGCATACAAAGCTAAACTTTGTAGCAAAAGGAATCAGTGTTTATCGATTACATATAATCTATCAAATAAAGTTGTGCTTTCTCACAAATAACTCTTGATATTTATAGCTCTGCGGGTCATAAGTTCACATTTATAGTACTGCTGGTCATAAGTTTATATTTATGACACGCTTTTCGTTAGCATAAGGCGCACTTTACGGCGTTGCATCGTTCCCCTCGCGCTCGTACGCTAACGTCACTTTGCGATACCAGAAAATGCGACTCTTGACTCGAAAAGGGGGCATAAATGTGAACTTAGCTATAAAATTGAATTCGATACTTGAGCCATAGGGTACACTTTCCAACACAGCTATTAGGACCCTCGCTGCGCTCGGGCCCTAAACTACGCCGTACCGTAAAGTGTTATTTATAGCCCTTGTATCATAAAGTATCATCATTTGTTTTCAAATAATTTAGGTGTTTGTAAAAAAATAGATTGACTTGAATGAATCCTCCAATAATCATATTATCAACTTACTCTTTTTGGGCTACCATGAGAACAGAGCGGTAGAAAAGAAATCATTTCTTGATAAGAAAACTCATCCTTTTCAGTACATTGAATGATGCCATCAAGTATAAGAACTCGGCCATGACTTTTTCTGAAATATTGAAGTAAGGTCAGAAATTATAGTTATTGATATGAATATTGAATAATTTTTTTATAGAAAGTCACAGTTAAAATCAATTCTTGACAATTTTTATATATGAAAGGTTGAATCTAGTTTCATGGATAAATTATGGCCTGCTCAAATACGACAGTGAGCGCGAAACAGACGACGTTACACTTTTTTTATCATAAGCATGAACTCTGAGTAGTATATGAGCCGGGTGATTGATTTATGGGCTTCTCTAGGCAACAAAATCAAAAAAATTATAAACGACTAAATCGAGTCCCTTGTATTGGTATAAGTTTGCTATAGAAAAAAATAAAAGAATTTTGATGGTTACTTACAGGTTCTGTTAATTTAGAGTTCAAGGGGATTCTGATGGGCCACGTGAATTTCAACTACAAATGTTATGCTACCACACAGGCCCACTAGGACAGAACCAATCGTATTATTTAATTCAAATAGTCATAAATTAATTATTAAGTAAATGGTTTGAATAATATTTGAGCCGGTTTTCAATACTCCGGTTGGCTTCTGCCGAACCGAAAGTGCAGCTTACGCCAGAGAAAGAGAGGGAGATAGATAGATAAATAGATAGATAGATGGATGGTTTATTCGACCTTAGGGAGACCCTGCCTGAAACAATGGACACGATAAAGCTTAATATCAAATTTATACAAAAGTTTGTCGACAATAATAAGCGATAATAGATTATATGAGGCATCATAAGTACAGCATTAGTTACATCAGAATGCTAGGGCCGCGTTCAGAATTGTCTATTTGAGTCACTAGTATCGTATTACTACATTATGAAATAGTGGCATAAACTGCGCTCAGGCGTTTACTTTGCAGTGCCATAATCTGCTACTTATGACATGTGTGTAATATACTGTTTATAGCACTGTGCTAGGTTAACATTTATGCCCCCTGTTCCGAGTTATAAGTCACACTTTCTGGTACCGTGAAGTGAGGTTAGCGCACGAGCGTATGCGAGTAAAATGCGAACGCTTCAGTGCCAGAAACTGCGACTCATGACTTGGAAAAGCATGTCATAAATGCGAATTTATGCCACACAGTGCTGTAAAGTACTATAATTTATATAAATAAATTTTAAACATTTATGTGAAACCTGATATTTGGTTTCCGAAATGTTCAGATGGATTAGGCGATTGCTTATTTAATTTAAAAAATTTTTTACAAGTGACATTTATTTTTTCAAAGTTATTAAGAGTTATTAAGGTGATGCCGAAGCCCCGATTTTGACCGACCGAGCATTAAAAATGTAAATTTCAATAACTTTTTTACCAGACTGATTTTTGAAAAACGGCTCTGTGGAGCCCTCCGTATTGTTCGTGTGAACAACTGCACCAAATTTCAGCCAATTACATCATGTAATTAATTAATAGGATCAAAATTTTTTATCTTGCAAACAGTAGTCAAAAATTTCGATCCTGTTTTCCGGGAAAAACTACCCGATAAAATTGGCTGAAATTTGGTGCAGTTGTTCACAGGAACAATACGGAGGGCTCCACAGAGCCGTTTTTCGAAAATCAGTCTGGTAAAAAAGTTATTGAAATTTACATTTTTAATGCTCGGTCGGTCAAAATTGGGACTTCGTCATCACCTTGAAGTGAAAAATAGACACAAACATCATGCACGTTGCCGTGTTTTAAATTGTAAAGGGCTTACTCGTCGTTTCAAAAATATAAAACTATCAGTACTGAAACTAATAGGTTTTCAAGACTTGACGTAGAAAATTTTAAAGATAGACCAAGAGAGTTATATCATTTTACAGGTTTCGACTACGAAAAGTTCATGACAATTTACTATTTATTAGCACCAATTAAAACGAGTAAGCCCTTTACAATTTAAAACACGGCAACGCGCATGATGTTTGTGTCTATTTTTCACTTTAAGATCCTAATAATCTAGATAAAATCATAGGTGTCACTGTTGCTGCAGTATTATCGTCTGTATACAGACGTACGTCTGTACTTCATACAATAACATAATAATGTTATTGAAAAAGAGTAGCAGACAGGTTAAATCAAACACGCGACCGCGAGCACGAGTTGGTGATTACTGCGAATGTCCGCTTAGGACAAGCCTGCCGCCTAGTGGCCAAATTTTCGCTGAAATTTGCCTAATACGAGCAATCATATCAACACTTCAGTTGAAAAATCGAGTCTCCACAAGGTTTTATAAAATTTTCAAAACTCTTAAAAATCATTAATAAGGTGTACGAATTCTGCACATTTGTAAGAAATTTTAAAGCTTTTTTAAACTTTATAAAACTTTCTCATGAGAAAAATTTCCGTCGGGGTACTTTAAATGATTTATTGACTTTATTTATTCACTTACGTTTGTAATACCATGATATGTTGAAACGTTGAATGCTCATTATATAAAATACTGTCAACCTCTAGTGATTGAACTATGCCAGGCCATAAATCATTTATTTCACTAAACCAGCCATTACGAAAAGAGTTCATTTTAAAGGAATTCCTGGTTTAATCTATAATAGAGTAATACAAATTAATGATTCTTTAATTTTCATTTAAAAATAGAATTATAATTTTTTATCAATCAACTGAAGCACAGATTTTGATACTGGGTTAAAAAAAACTATAAGCAAAAACAATAGTCTCACAAGTATAATATTAGTACATTCATAAATATTTCTATTAAAAAAATGAAATCCGATTTTTTTAAATGGAAAAAATATTAATTAAATTCGTATTATGATAAATTTTGAATGATCAAGTTTATCGTAATGCGGATGAGAAGTGAAACTTGAATGATTGAGGCACCACTTTCTATAAGGATGTAAACGATATAAAAAAATGTCATACATCCATTCAATAGATTGTCTAAAAAGTTATTTCTTTTTCTGAAATCTGCCTTTCCTATCAAATATTTTAAATCTAATTTTTTTTGTCGTACATTAGAGGCCCAAAAAAACTATATTTCTTTTTTTAATTTGTTTCAACTTTAATAATTTTAATGATTTATAATTATAAAAGATATTTAAAGAATTTAAAAACCAAAAAAAGATGAGTTTTTTTTAAGATGGTAAACATGTAAAGTCAATAATTTTTTTAAAGCTTTTAAAATTCAAATGGCAATTGGAAAAGACTTGGTTAGAAATCCAACGACTTAATGATTCTCAATCAGTCAGAAGTTTCAGAATATATATAAAGAAACATCATAGCGGGGATCCATATTGAAGGATCCTCGAGTAGAATTATTCAAGTAACCTGAACTCTTATTCATGTTTCATTTGAAAAATTTTCAAAATTCATGCAATATGTTTTTTCTGTATAATAGTTTTGTTGTGAAATATTAAAAATTTTAGAATTGATAAAAATCATGTTAAAAAAAAATATTATAATTACCAAATCGTAGTTTTCTTTCAATAGGTTGAACTAATGATATAGGTAATAATTTTTAAAAAAATTTTGAATCAATCGTAGATTTGTTACAGAGTATTGTTTTCACTTGCTCATGTAGTGATATATTCGAGAAGCAGTCAAATTAAATCATAAAACTGAGTTTCGGGACTAGCGAAAAAATAAACTAAACTAGCATATAAATGACAAGAATTTAAAAAAATATTTGTGTATTAAAACGACACTTGGGGTAAAATGTCTAAAAAACTTTAATAACAAAAAATGTTACATCATTTTTTATTGAATTTACATATGCCTCCTCCAGCCTACGAAGTCATCATATCTGTCTTCCCAAACTTCTCAGCAAATTGCACACCACCTATGATCGAGATGGGATGATATATTAAGTTTCATAAAAAATTGGTTTTGTTGCATTATAAATTATTCATAATTCATTTCATAATTCTTTTTTTCTACTCGCAAAATCCTACTTAAGATAATTGAAAAAACAATCCTGATTTTTTAAAAAATTTTAAGCTGAAAAATTAGGTTATAATAAGTTAAAATTATAGTCTTACTTGTAACTGTAAAAAAAAAACCAAAAAAAAACAAAAGCTATATACGAACGTGAAATTGTCAAAATTTTCTATTTTTTTAAAATCTGCAAAAAATAGAGGTTCAAAAATTCTATTTTTAGTTAGCTGCAGAGAGTTTGAGTTTAAGATCACATTAAACGTTACCATTTGATTATTCTTTTTAAAATAACTGAAGTATGAAGTTGTCGAATTTTCTTTCACACTTACTCTGCGATATTTTAATATTTCCATATTTAGGTTTCCATGTTTTTGTCGCACCATGTATACTTAGTATGATATAATCTATGGTTTATGGTAAAACATTAACCAAATATCACCGTATGAGTTGCAATTGATTATTTTTATAGCACTGCGTGGCATAAGTTCACATCTATGGCACGCTTTTCGGTGGCATAAGTCGCGCATTCTGGCACCGCTGCGTTCGCATCACACTCGCATACGCTCGTGCGCTAACCTCACTTTGCGGTACCACAAAGTGCGATTTATGCATCGGAAAAAGGGGCATAAATGTTAACTTGGCACAGTATAACTATAAAGTGTTGTTCGATACTCGGGCCATAGGGGACATTTTTCGGCCCAACTATTAGGACCCTCGCTGCGCTCGGGCCCTAAACTAAGCTGTGCCCAAAAGTGTTACTTATGGTACTTGTATCGAAAATTTCTATTACCTCTGCGGAAATTGATCGCCACACTAAGTCTTTAGAAATTCTTAAAAACTCTTAAAAACTCTTTAAAAGTCTGAATAAGTCTTTAAAATTCTTACAAATGTCCGGATTTTGTACCATGATTTCAAAATTTAATAAAACTTTATAAGAGTTTCAATTAATATAAATTTTTTTTATAAATTTATATGAAGGGTTTCTAAATTGTTTAGAAAAAAATTCTTTTTAATTTTTACGAGTAATTTTAATTGTTTTAAAGAGTTATAAAGAGTTTTGAAGAGTTATTAAGTGTTTATAAGAGTTTTTAATAGTTTTAAAAACGTTTTTGATTGATCAACGCTCACCAAAAATCAAGGTGAAAAAACCATACGGGCAACCATATGAACAATACATAAAAAAAGTAAATGGAAAAAAACTTAACACTTTTGCCAAAAAGTCGAGTTTCCACAAGGTTTTATGAATTTTTAAAAACTCTTATTAACTCTTTAAAATGATTAATCAGGTGTACGAATTTCGTACATTTATAAGACTTATAAAGACTTTTTAAGACTTCATAAAACTATATCATGAGAAAAATTTCCGTTGGGGTATAATTTCCTTGTGCTGTTGTGTAGATTTTGATAGGTTCACCAATCGATCGACGGTGGCGTGATATGAATCGTTTAGTTCCCAATACTAATATTACTATATATAGTTTAGTATTAATATAACTCTGATGTAGTACTCATTCTGTCAAGAATTTCAGCTTTCTAACGAGATAATCAAAATATTTTTATCGTACTTTTTAGAGGCTTTTAGAACTTAATATTAATACTTAAAATTTTTTATAAGGGAAGTCTTATGTAACAAAAGATCTGCTGTCCAAATTTTTATCTCTGATAATTGTCATAGCTTGCTTGAAAATTGTTGATTGATTTACAAGTGGATCATTTTAACCCATTAAGTCCGAGACGGACACATTTTTGATATTTTTTTGAACCGTTGTATTTTTACTGAAAATGGGGTCTGAATAGTTTCTGAGTTAGCTTATTGTGAGCAAAATTTAATGAACTTTTTGAATCTGGTGTCAGATTTTTGATATAATCAAAAGATCAAAACTTATGGATGGTTTTATAAAAAAACGCGATTTCAAAATAAAATTTCTTTTCTTTTCGAATTTCCACATGAAAATCTTTTAAATCCTAGCGTCTTGGGTATAAATAAAGCGTCCGTGGGCCCTTATCTTAAATTTAGTGAACTCAATTAGTAAAATATGAATTTAGGTACACCAAAGGGCGACTGGAAAACGAAAATATGCAAGAAAATTTCTGGAATTTTTAACTAAAGAATTGATCAAAGAACTCTTTTATCAGTAAAATTTTTTCCTCAAATCCATCATTTTGAAATTCATTCAAAAGAAAAGAAAATTTGTTTTTCGAAGTCACGTTTTTTATTAAAAAACCATCCATAACTTTTGACCTTTTGATTATATTAAAAATCTGACACCGAATTAGAAAGTTCATTAAATTTTGCTTAGAATATGCTTACTCGAAAACTATTCAGACCCCACTTTTATAATACAACGGTTCAAAAAAGTATCAAAAATGTTTCCGTCCCAGACTTAATGGGTTATAATTAATTAAGAAGCATGAAGTGGGAATTGAATTAAATTTTTATAAACTATTTATATACATTTCCCATCTATAAGATAATTTGTATTTTGCTCATTTAAATATATTTTTTAAACTGAAATGAAAAACTTTCACTTAATATATATTCATTATCTTCATTATAAATGAAATGAAACATTCAATACAAACATTTTTATTTTCATAAATGAAAGAATTTCTTATAAGAGTGATTGACACAAGAGAAGTGCTTTTTTGTCGTAACATGACTTTACACTCATAATCCCACTAGGTATTATATCCCAGTACCCAGTAGGTAGGGCTGAAGTCGTAGAATAAACATATAAGCAAGTTTTCCAGCAAAATTATATGAAATATCGTTCAATTCATATACATTGTTATGTTCATTATGAAGGGTACCATTAATTTTCATTATTTGATTTTACTTTTTATGATGTTTACTATTGTGACAACAAGTGTCATTGAAAATTGTAAAACAATCTTTTCAATCGTTGGAATCATTAAAGGTAATACTCATTAAAGTGTTCTTAAAAATATTTCTTTGTTATTAGAAATAGTTATTTATGCAACAACTGCCCTAAAGGCGTTTTTGGGCACGAGTGTGCCAAAAGCTGGGCACCCGTTGCATACAAAATTTTATGCAATAGTAAGCGAAAAATACTTTCATTTTAAAACAAGCATCCAAAAACGCCTTTTGGGCACTTGTTGCATAAATAAATACATCGTTTATTTTTCATAAACCTAATGATTAAGTCAAAAGAGTGCTACTAGAAATATAAAAAACCTGATTATTATTTAAAACTGTTATTAATTCTTTGAAAATAGCTCATCATCAATTTTGGTAATAATCGCTAAAGTATTGTTAATTATCGTTTACCAATATGATACTCTTTAAAAGTAAATAATTAGCTTCAAGTTCATTTATTTAGGGAGTTCATTTATTTAGCTCATGTGTACATCGGTAATTCTCCGAGTAAAAGATAATTCGTGTTTCGCACAAAATTTTTTTCACTGAGAGCATAAAATAAAAAGATGTATACTGGGAAATCTCTGAAACTTACGAGTAGACCACCCCAGCTCCGGGTCATGGATTTGCTCCAAAATTTTTTTGGGGTCTCCAGGTACACAATACTGAAGCTCCCTGTGCTTAGTTTGATCTCATGGGCTTTAGGGCCCATTTTTTAGAGGATTTTCAACATTATAAAAAAATTTTTGTTATTTTCTATATCGATTTAGAAGTACTTTAACGAAAAAGTGCAACGATAAAAAGTTTTAAAATTTTTCAAAGAATCTGCTTGAATTTTTTCAGAATTTTTGGGATCATCTACCACTCTCTTTGAGAAGTCCTAGAATCTATAAAAAAAAGCGTCAAATTTAGGCCTCTTGAATTAAGTGATAGATGGTCCCAAAAATTCTGAAAAAATTCAAGCAGATTCTTTGAAAAATTTTCAATTTCAATTCATGTTTTGGTTCATGAAAACTAAAAAAAAGGTTGAGCGCGAGGTTCCATGAAACTTAATAAAAAAAGTTTACCCTATTGGATAGGTGTGAGAAGCAAGATTTGCAAAATGCCCACTGTGCACTGTCAAATGGGCATTTAGGCCTAGACAAGATTTACAATCAAATAAATCGTAATTGCTTTTGGCAAGGATACTAATATTATGTAAAAGCATACATACAGTCATGCAAAGTGTTTTATTCCTACAAACTCATTCAGAACAGAGTCAAGAAGAGGGTCTGGACTTTAGAGGAGACATAATAAACCCGTGATGACTTTATCGTATCATCCGTACAGTAACCCCTATCGGTGAAGACATGTGTTCAACCGTATTTTGCTAAATAGAATGCTGGTAATGCAATTCAACGAAAACTTTGTAAAATTTACTGTTTACTTGAAAGAAACTCTTCAGGAACATTAAAAATTAATGACTCCTTAACAATTGTATACTAACCCCAATTTGAATGTATGGAATCTAATAGTGGGTGCAACTGACGGTTCTAAAATCAAAAGATTATCATTGTTATTCAAAAACATTGTCAATGCTCTATAATACGTGAAGAACAAAGCAAAATGATTTTTTGTTGTAATAAAAATCGAAAGAAAAATAATCTAAACACCTCGACAACTCAACTGGGAAATGTTTCTTAATTGAAGTCAAGATTAAAAAATAAGATATTACTGCCACGAAAAATAGAAAAGTTCGAAAGTACGT